AGTTAATTAATTATCCAAAGGTGAGGCCTACAAAACTATGCCTCAACAAGCAAAGGTGTTACATAGTCTGAAACAGGGCTATTCAACTTGCTGGAAAATTCTTCTCCATAAGTAGCAGAACAAGCCACACCTACAATAAACACACACCCTCATTATATTATTAAGTTGTCTTCATCTCCCTGATGTGAAACCCTGTCTCTGCTTTGTGATCCTCATTATACAGTGTCACACCAATGGTTTACACTGGCTTACACCAGATCTGTTTCTTTTATGTATTTGCTAATTCCACAAGTTTTAATTTATTAATGGTGGCATCTGCATAGCAACATCAAGAAATGTTAGCTCTACTATAGTTTACTTTTTATATAATGAGAATCAGACAGTAAGATCAAAAGAAAAAAATCATTTAAAAGCACATCACTATTTGGAGCTAAAAGAAAGACATAGAAAAACCAAAACAGAAAAATACAGAGTTGTCTTGCCTGTGGCCTTTGAGATAAGCCCCTTGGCAGATTCCTTCCAGTACACTAGGTACACTTTGATAAGCAGAATCCTTTGATCAATGAGGACTCAACGGTGCGAACCAGAATGTTACCTCATCCATCTTGGATAATGGTCCACCAAAGTGGCAACCAGAACTTTCCCCTGCCCTTATTTATCATACTTAAAGGAACTAGTTCGTTACTTTCATGAGGGAAACCCCACTCCTCACACACAAAGATTTGTTTGACTTAAACTGAAGAGGAAGTAATGGCTACTAATGATGATTAGCCTCAGAAATGAGAAGTTAGCACTTAACAACTGGGCAGGTGCTCCATCTCAGCACATCCTCCTGGGGATGCTTCTTTCTCCATGGCAGAGCAAGTAGGTACATTGTCTGGACCACAGTCATTTGAAGGGCTCTTCCGCCAAAAGGATGTCCATGCAGAAACCCTCAGTATCTGTCCCAGGAGATGCCTAGTTCAGTGTGCTCACCTAAAAGAATCAGCAGCTGTTAGTAGGTGGCTCGTTGTTTGGGCAGAAACCACTCTAAATCACATAATTCAACCCTGTTCTTATAATCCCCCTGAACTATGGTTTGGTGATTTTATTTTTACTGGGTTTTGTTGTTGTTTGGCTTCATAGAAGAAAAATGCTTTTTAATAAATTAAAAAAAAACAGTAAACAAGCACTTTCCTGCCCAACTCCGTGACAGACTAAGCAGGGCAAAGAGACCCATATGTAAGCCTGCCCCGGCTTTGAGAAGACATGAGCCCACCTGGCAATATAAGGTGAGCAAATGTACCCCAGGGCCCATGCCTAGGCCCATGGTCCTGATGAAGCCACAGTTTGTGTTGATGTCTGATGTCCTTGACATCTCCAAAGACAGAGAGGATAGGGCTGTAAAGAGTTGGCCCTGCCCCTCACTGTTTGCAACACTAGGTGGGAACTGGTCCTGCCCCTCATCGGCTGAAGTACTCAGGAGAGAAGGTCCTACACCTCACCTGGGCACAATAGAACTGACCATAGAGCGAGCTGGTCCTATGGGGATGAGACTTGTAGAGCAGGTCATGCCCCTCTCATCTGCCATCTGGTGGCGTGGGTGAGGGAAAGATCTCCTCCTCCTCTCGCCCCTCAACATCTGCAGGGAGACCTGAGCTAACCCCTCACCAGCTGCAGCACTCAGGAGAGCAGGCCCAGCACCTCACCTGGGCAGCACAGTAGAGTTGACTCTGATGGCAGAGGTAAAAGCAAGGTAAAGATGCCTTCCTCCTCTTGCCCCTGACACCTGTGGTGAGTGAGAGAGCTGACCCTCCTCCTTACCAGCTGTAGCACTCAGGAAAATGGACTCTGCAGCTTGCCTGGTCATCATAGTAGAGCTCACCCTGTTGGTGGAGGTGTGGGTGAACCAGCCTGGTAGATGTGAGCATAGGAGAGCTGTCCCCATCACTCGGGGTCATGTGGTGGTATGGGCAGGGGAGATATGCCCTCTCCCCCTATCAGCATCTGAGGGAGGGGGGGAGAGTTGGCCCTGAGGTCGTAAGAGCTGGAGGGCTGTTCCTGCCCCTCATCAGCTGCAGCACTGGGGAGAATGGTCCCTATACCTACTGGGCAACACGGTAGAGCTGGCCCTGAAAGTGTAGGTGTGGGAGAGCAGTCCCTGAGGATGTGGAAGCAGAGAACTGGCCCTGCCCCTTGCTCATCACTGAAATGATGGAGAGCCCCCTGGTGGTGAGGATGGGGAGAGCTGGTGGGCTGAGCAACCCTGCAACTACCCATCCCAGAACCGGGGTTATGAGTAGGCCCCACCCCACCTGTGACCTATTGGAGCACAGACTGGGGGCGGTGTTAGGTTCCTGTATACAAAGGGATGTCCAGAAGCAGAGCAGCAATGGGATCCAGGAAGAGCCCCAGTGTTGATAGTGTAGCAGAGACCAGTGGCCTCGAACAAAACCAATGCATGAAAATAAATAAATGCTTGTGTTTCTAGGTCCTTAAAAAAAAAAAAAAAAAAAGTTGTTCTCCTGCTACCTGATAGAAAGATGTGTGTGTGTTGTAGACTCACATCGAAAGATGAATTCTGGGAAAATGTATCAAAAGCCAATTCTGACAGTTATGAGTCCACATAGTACGTGATCCTGGGCAAACTAGTTTATAGAAAAATACCTTTTTAGGATTTTTTAAACTTGTGTATGTGTGACACCTGTGTGCAGGTATCTGTAGAAGCTGGTAGACAGTGTCAAATCCCCAGGAACTGGATTACAGGTGGTTGTGAGCTGCCTGATGTGGGTGCTGAGAACCAATCTGATCTTCTGGAAGTGATCTTAACTGTGGATTCATCTCTTAAACACCAGAAAATGAATTTTACTCTTGCCTGTGTCTGAATAAAGCAAACAAGATTTAAAATATGTCTATAAAGGATGCACTACTTGGCCATAAGTGACGTCCTCTTTGTATCCTCCTCTCCCAGCTTCTGGGACAAGAGGATAATATGCAGAAGTACTTAACATCTGGATGACTTACACCCTTTAGAGACTTTAAAGGGTGTTCATGGTGCTTTACCCAAAAGAATCATACTGTCCAGGGATGGGTATCCCAGAGATGGGTATCCCTGGGTGCTATGAAGCATGTATGTGAACCAACCATAGAGCCCAGGCCCAAGCTGTCAACTTGAGCACACAACATCTGACTGCTACCCTGTATCAAGAGGAGGCAAGACCTGTTCTCCTTTTGGGGAAGGATTTGAGATGATAATGTGGTTCATCCCAACTACACCCCAAGCCACTCTCTATGACTGACAGTCCATCTATTCCACCCTCAACCACAGATGGGTGCTTCTCCCTGCCCCAACCTGATGTTAAGACACAAGCCTGTCTGCTTAGTTCCTTTGTCTGTGTGGAAAAACAACAGAATTGGATGTCCTTGAAAGCTTGCATCTTCCCACTGAAGTCTATGCAAACAATAGCTAGCTATTACCAAGAGCTCATCCTACATTGCCACCTCAGCCTTTCGATGACAGCCTCAGGTAGCTTCACTGCCTCCATTTGCAGGGAATGGTGTGGTACCAGGTTGGAAACATTAGCTCCTCCCACTGTCATGCCCTTTCCTTGCTGCTCTTTCTAGAGGCGGCCTGGAGCTGCCTGGAGCTGCGGCTCTCGTGGAGCATTTCATATGCACAGAAACTTGGATTTCTTAGTCAGATCCCTGTGGGTGCCCATAGGTAGCTCAGCCTCCCTTCAGCTCTCTAGCCACACTGAACTCAACTAGAAGCATGTTCTTCACACAAAGGCCTCTCCATGCTGGCTTCACAGTTCTGCAAATCCACAGGAGTCTTCCGGAATGTCAGGATGTGGATTCCCTACAAATATATTTGAGCTGCCTCTGAAGCCTCGGAGTCCTCCTACTAACTTGCTGTCTATTTCAGAAAAGAATGGGAATTTTAGCGTCATAGTCAAATCTCAAATACCCAACTCCTTCTCCGCTTGCCTGCCATCATCCTTTGAGGGCCCCAGTTCAGGCACTTGTGGTGGCTAAACATACTTTTATACAGCCAGGGAAATGGCTGGGACACAATGGAACCAAAGTGAGCAATACAGTTTTAATTACACCAGAATCTTCCGTAACAAATGCCTGATAGCTTTCAGTGCATCTTGGAAACAGGTTGATAGGAAAGTTTCTTGAATAGTCTGCACTTTGCGGGGGAGGGAGGGAGGGTGGTTTTTTTGGTTTTGGTTTTGTTTTACACTGGATCTACACACATGGTAGGACTTTATGAAGGTGTGAATTAGTTACTCACCTGTAGAAACTTAACCTCCCTTACTTCCAACCAGACAGTTTATGTTGTACTTCCTCCTCCCTCATCTCTGGTGCCTACTCTGTCCCAGCCTTAAGCTGCACTCCTAGCTTGGGATGTGGGTGGGGCTTGTGTTAATTCTTCGATTTTTGTTTAGATAGGGTCTCATGTATCCCAGGCTAGCCTTGAACTTTTTATATGGCTGATCACAAAAAGCCTTTGCTTTTCTGATTTTTATTCTCCTGTCTTTGTTTCCCAAGTACTGGGATTACAAATGTGTGGCACCATGCCTGATGTTCTAATGCGCACATAAATAAGGCTCTATAATATAAGCAGACTCTAGTAGCATGACATCTGGAGTATTCTCTGAAGCATACGTAGCCCAGGAGCAGGCAGGTATAGACTAGACTGAAACCAGCCCTTAACACGCTGATCTCCAAAGAGCTAAACCTGGGGAGAGAAGGTGTGTCCACACATGTGCTAGAGTCAGCAGAGGGGGCACATGAGCTGAGGAGCAGGGAGAGAAAGATTGAATCCTGCCTCTGTGCTCTAGTCACTGTAGAGTCCTGGAGAAGTCTCTGGTATAGCACATAGAACAGTACCCCATTGGTAAGGTAGTCACTATGGAAAAGGGACCACAGTAAGCACTCAGCAGAAATGGCTGCCAGATGATACCCAAGGGGAGGGACCACCACACCAGCCCAAGTGAGCTCGGTGAGGCCTCATCTCACACAGAGTATGATACCCACCTGAGGGTGTCATCCGTAGCCACGGTCTCCTCCAGATCCTCCCACTCACTCTCACTCCCGTGTGATCCTTCCAGAAGTGAGGACTCTGGGAGAGCACCCCAAGAACAGAACTGTGGCAGAGGAATAGTCTCCGAATCTGCCTCTAGACATCCTTCACAGGGCAGATGGCCAGAGGAAGTTGAGTTGAGAGTCAAGTATTCTTCATCATCCAAGGTGAGGGAAGAGGTTTCACGTAGAAAACATGTGTCGCCTCCAGCATCATCCCTGTCTAATCCAAGACTAGAAAACAGAAACCTGTGTGTCGTCCAGCCTCCATCAGAAATTCCTGCCCACCCCCATTCTCCTTGCCTCTCGGGGTCCAAATCTCCTGGTTCATCACCTATAACCCAGCCAGATTCAAACAGCTCTTCCCAGAGGATGCCCTGGGTACCGGGATGCAAATAGCAAATATAATGAACTGGTGAGACTCCCAGGCTAATGAAAGCAAGTGTAGCACAGAAATATCACAGTGTGAGTGATAAGCAGAGGCAGCTCAGTGTATTAAACCTAGGAGCCCATGTGGGAGCTGCTGGAGGGCACAGCAGTGCAGGCAAAGCTATGAGCTGGGGTCAGTTCTGGACCTGCTTTTCAAGCTGAGACCCTGGGTAGGTTTACTGCTTATCTGCAATCTTGGTTCTCTCATCTAGCACACTGGAAGGTGGAGAAATTGTTTGGATTGTTGGAATGTTTAAATGAAATGATTGCTATACATTATATGACTTCCAGGACGCCTGGCCCAGGGTAAGTTTTCCATCAATGAGATGCTGTTATTATGACTCTGACTGTTTGAACTATTTTAGCAGACAGATTAGAAGGAAAGAGCCCAAGGAGACTAGGAGCAATCTTCAAAGTGTTTTGTGCAAATAGCAGGTCCTTTTCTAAGCACTGGTGAAGTGTCTGTTTAGGGAGGCAGCCAGCTGGAGTGACATTTATTCCCCGTGTCAAAAGAAGGACGCGGGTGGCAGAGGACCAGACAGGCTCATTATCTGGTGGTGCACATGCAGATGCAAGAGAAAGATTCAGCCTTCCAGGCAGGACCCAAGATAGCCACACATGCCTCAGATGAGTAAGAGCAGTTCTGCAGACAGGGTGTCTTGTGAAGCATTGCAGACAGGCAGAGAGGCACTCAGAAAATATCTGTTGCTAATCTGGTTAGAGAAGATGAGAAGGAAAATCTAAGAGGAAAGCATAAAGATTTAATTGGTTTCTTTTTTCCTAACCAAATACATAGATCCTCATTTCTCAGCCTCCTGCCCCACACCCAGATCAATGAGTTAGTTTCGTTACATGCCCCCATCCCTTCTCCTCTTCCCCATAATGCCCCCCTTCTCTTAAAAATCAACTCTATAATACCCTGATGGCTAGAAACATCAGACAGTGTGCACCCCAGCCTGAGTTCTGCTGTGAAGGGACATTATTTCCAGTATGGAAAACTAACTATAGGATGTGTATAAAAGTGTGTATAAAAATAAATGACTTACCAAGACTATAAAACAATTTAGAAATTGTCAAGTACTTGGGAGGAAACTTTGGTTTAAGAATGTAATGACTTTGATCAAATGTACATAAATTATGTTTTCTTATAAACATAGGCAGGGAACAGCAGGTAGTTATGATAATGCAAGAAAAATCCTGTATTGCCCAGGCAGGAAATAGGAGGCCCCGAGGGTGCAGAGCACAGCTACCTGTGGGCCAGTGCAGCTGCCTGGCTGTCTACACTGCATCTTTACCATCATCCCCCTCCACACCTTCAAGAAATACCTCTATCTTTCATATGAGACTTAGCCAAAAGCATAGATGACATTGAACATTCTATAAGGATGCCCAAGCATAATGAGACTTGATACAATGGTCAGCCTGTGCCCAAACTTTAGCAAGTAGCCTGGCAGAAACATGTATCCCCAGCCAAGCCTGCTCTTCCATAGGTATGCAATGCAGCTCTTCCATGGCAATGCACCATGGGAGCTTTAAAGTCTCCGGATGTCAGATATAGATGAGAATGAGGAAGGATCAGTGAAATCTAATCTAAACACACACTGAGTTTGCTGGGGTGCTGGCAGCCATCTGGTGTTAAGACAGAGCCACCTGGCGATAGTAAGTTCTGGCAGTTGGCTAGGAATTTCAATTCCATGCAGCTTGCTCTTTAACAAGGAAGAGTAGGAATACAGAACAGTGCTGGTTCCTACTATGTGCCAGGTACAGTGCTGTCACTTTTTCTTCTGGCTTGCACAGTGGATGGGGAATCCTGATGTTAGTTTACAACTGGGCAGCCCTCAACTAATGAAAGACAGCTATCCAGGCACACACACGAGTAAGTGGAATGCTGACTCTAAACTACATTCTCCACAGATCTGAGCCTTTTGTCCCGAACTGGACCCAGAGAGGCCAGAAATCAATGGGGCAGTTTGGCTGGCACAGCCACATCAGACCTGCAGACGCTCCTAAGGAGCCCGTAGATAACCACAGTCCCACTTTGCAATACTAATTAGGATCCTATCTGCAAGCTTGAGACCCTTCTTTCAATGATTTCTGGGTATACACTACACTTGTCTTTCTTTGGAGATGGTTGCTATGAGTGCACACAGGGCAGGTAAGGACCGTCCTGTGGAGGAGGGGAGGAGGGGCTGCCATGATTTGTGTGCTGTTTTAGTAGTGAGGAAATATTCTTAAGTGGAAGAAGAAAATGAGGGAAAAGTAAAACCAGGAAATGGGGAGAGGAGGAACACTGTCATTCCACGGAAGCAGTGCAAAGGGGAGTATGGGCCCACAGGGGCCTGTAGCTCGCTACTCATGGCCTCATGACACACAAAACAAAACATGGCGGCCACAGGAACCTAGGAAGAAAACAAAACAAAACAAAAAACAAAAACAAAAAAAAAGGAGGTGGTAACCATAGCAACTGAGCATCAGAAGGCTCACTAGAATGTTCTGAACAGACATGAAGGACTCTAGTGACCCTCAAAAGGGAACACCCTTTAAGAATGGCAATTTGGAGACATATGGCATACCCTTATAAGTAAGCCAAATTTAATCTGATTCAGGAAATAAAAATAAATGATTCTCTTGTTTTAAAAAAAAAAAATGCCTCACCCCTTGCCAAGAAGCTGTGGCATTTAATTATTGCTAGGTGAAGGAAAGTCAGTTTTCCTTAGTGGAACGACACTTAGTGTACTGAACACAACCCAGCACAAACCACATACCGAGGAGCAATCAACCAAACCAAACTAGACTCCAGGGGGGTTATTTGTTTGCTTGCTTGCTTGCTTGCTTGCTTGTCTTTTAAGAGGCAAGGACTAAAGTTGGGTTGGTAGGGCAGTGGGGGACAACCTGGGGGGAGTTAAGAGAGGGGAATGGGTAGTATCAAAATATTCTAATTGTATTGCATGAAAATTTCCAAGAATAAATAGAAACATAATTTTCTAGGAGTGAATAACAATCAGATCAGAGGATATGGAGGTCAGAACTTGCAAATAAAAAAAATATGAACAGGTAAACTTCACCATGGGTGTGGTGACAAATGGATCCTCACGCAGGAGCAAGTTGTGCACCTTCAAAACACTCAGGTGAGAGAAGGCAGCCCTTCCCGAGGAAGCTACGATGTGAACTCCCACATGGAGTATGAGGTTAGAGTTGACCATTTTTTATATGAAACCCGATATGTTGTAATACATGAATGAGCACTGATGGTCTGGGCTAATTAGAAGTTAAAATGTTTTTATTAACTATTGGCTACATTGAGTTACAGTCATATGGAAATCTAGATCTAACCAGACTCGCATTCAAACCCAGAAATGCTTTTAATCCAGTTGTCAATGGTCCCTTTTCAGATTCTTGATAATAAAACTTTTAGACCTCTAGGACTGGTGAAATGGTTTAGAAGATAAAGGGGCTTGCTGCCAAATGTGATGACCCAAGTTTGAGTGTAAGGAAAGAACTAACTCTCCCAAGTGGTCTTGTGACTTCTATACATGCTCTATAGTTTTTACATTCGTTGCACGCGCGCGTGCACGCGCACGCGCGCGCACACACACACACACACACACACACACAATGTATAATCATGTTTTTAAAACCTTTAGAAGTTTTGACAAATGGCCTTATGCCTGCAGGAAAGGAGGATTCTCATATGTCCCACAGAAGCTTACCAATGGTTGGCCTTGGTCAAGTCTCTAAGTCCTTTCATTTATCACTTAATCAAGTACATCATATGATTCCCAGGATTCCATTGTGAAAAAAAAAAAAACCAAAACTGTAACATTGTAAGGAACATTACATTAATTATTAGACGATGAGAATGAATGTTATGGATGCATGTGCTTGCCCATGCTGTTTCTATGTTGCAAACAAGTTGTTTTCTGTTTGACTTGCACAGTATTTTTTAAAAATTGTGTCTAGATACCTTTAGGTACTATAAGCCTGGCCTTTATTTGCCATAGTTCTCTCAGAGCCCAGCTGTATCGTCCTGCCTTCTGCTGCATACCATGGTATCTCACTATCCATCTGAGGTCAGTTCTAGGACACACACACATACACACACACACACAAACACACAAAAGACAGCAGAATCCTCAGATGCTGGAGTCCCTTATATAAATGTTGTATATGCTTGTGTATCAGCTACAGACCTCCTACTGTACATACTAACTCATTTCTAGATCACTTATAATAACGAATACAATGAAATGGGTTATAAATAGTTGTTATACTATATTGCTTAGAAAATAATAACCAAAACATCTATATATTTCAGTACAAGTGTCTTTTCTAATAATTGCAAGCTAAGGTTGGTCAGATGCACAAATGCAGAACCTATAGACTCAGAGGATTGAGTATATCATGCCACTTATCAGTCCCTGTAAGTCTACTCTCATCACTCTGTTACAGGGATCAGAAAAGAGAGTCATTGAATCCCAACAGCTTTATATAGTTTCAAACATAAATCATTACTCCTGGTAATGCCTGCTCGTGCCCATGCATGCTTACAAATACCTAGCAGCAGAAACATACCCTGCCTCCCCCTACACTTCTCCTTCCCTTCCCCAGCTCTGCTCCCTGACAAGGTTCAAGGTCTGTGCATGTTATAAATAGTCTCCAAACTGAATTTAGAAGTTTTTCATGAGAACAGAAATTAAAACTAGAAATACTTAAAGGTGGGTAGGCACAGAGCTATAGACTAAATAAAAATAGTCATTGAAATGAAGGTTTCAGCCTGGTTTTAGAGATAGAAATATACTTCCAGGTAGTGTTAACCAAAAAAAGGTCTATATTATGAATAGAAATGAGCATATACACAAGGTCTCCCTTTATACAACAGCAACTAAAGAGTCCATGGGGTGCAGAACACACTCTGTGTGCTGAAAGAAAACACAAGGCCTGCCGTCAGCAGCCTGTAGGACATACTGGGAATGATTGTCATCTGGGTGGAATTTGCTTTTCCCCAAAGTTCACAGGTTGTATCAATGGCCAACCATGGGCTTCTGTAATTTCTAACTCTCCTCAAATGCCTGAAACAGTGCTGGGCACAATAATCCTCTCTATAGTAGGTGACTACTTAATTGTAATCAGCTGACAACACAATACACACAGCTTACAAAATGTCTGCAAATGTGGTAAATCTTACCTTCCCAGTCTCCTGATATCACATACGGAATAGCAGTTTTGTCTCATATCCTTTTCCAAAGAGGTAGCCAATGCTGGTGCCTCTGGTTCTTGGTGGAGTTTGCACAAGTGAGGATGGGATTCCATAGGGTGCATCAAGGACCTGGTCCAGGGCCCCTGTCTGTTTTGGTTTCCTTTCACCTCTCTGACAACCTTGTAGGAAGACTCTGGCCTGGCACCCAGGCCTTCCCCTGTGTCCAGGGAAGCACTGTCCCTCCAGCTGTCTTGATCTAGGCTGGGGCTCTGCTCTGATTCAGTACATGTTGCCATGGTGAATCTTTGGTCTTCTGATAGTTCAGGAGTCTATTAAAGAAATATGAATGGTTACCAAAGCTATCTCTCACATGGAAGAAACCCTAAGAAATGTTTAAAGAAATAAAAAAGTTTGGGGCTTAGCTGGGCAGTGGTGGCATATGCTTTTAATCCCAACACTTGGGAGGCAGAAGCAGGCAGATTTCTGAGTTTAAGGCCAGCCTGGTCTACAGAGTTCCAGGACAGCCAGAACTACACAGAGAAACTCTGTCTTGAAAAACAAAACAGACAAAAAAGTTGGGGGCTGAAGAGATGGTACAGTGGCTAACAGCATATGCTACACTTGCAGAGGACTAGAATTCAATTCTCAGCATCCATGTCAGGCAGCTCACAATGACCTGATGGCCTTCTCTGACCTATGCAGGCACCTGCACTCATCTGTACTTAGCTACAGGCAGACATACCCACATACAAATAATTTTTAAAATTAAAATATTTTTTAAAGAAATAAGAAGTTTTTTCCAGATGCTTTTAGTTCTGAGCTATAGAGACTTTGCAATCAGCCTCTCGTCCGTCACGGTCTTGATCCTGTGCCTGTTCCCTGGGCAGCATAGGCTTGTCTTTTAAGTACTTTAGTTTGAGAGCTGTAAATCTGGAAGACGTTCTAAAATTCAATGAAAATGAATACACAGCATACTCAAATTTATGAAACACAATGAAAGCAGTTCTAAGAGAAAAGTTTATAGCACTAAGTGTCTACATTTAAAAAAAATGGAGAAATCTCACACTAGTGACTTAATAGCACACCTGAAAACTCTAGAACTAAAGAAGTAACCCCATCTAATAGGAGTAGATTGCAAGAAATAATCAAACTTGGGGCTGAAATCAATAAAAGAAAAAAGAGAACAATACAAAGAGTTACATTGAGAAATTCTTTGAGAAAATCAACAAGATGGACAAACCATTATCCAAACTAAAATACAGAGAGAGGCTATCCAAATGGACAAAATCAGAAAGGAAAAGGAGGATATAACAACGGCACCAAGGAAATCCAGAGAATCACAAGAACAAACTTTAAAAACCTATAGTCCACCAAATTGGAAAATCTAAAAGAAATGGATAATTTTCTCAATGGGTATCACTTACCAAATTTAAATCAAGATCAGATAAATTTTAAATAGACCTATAACCCCTAAGGAAACAATAGCTATCATTAGTCTCCCAACCAAAAAATAAAAGAAAAAAGCTAGGGCCAGATGGTTTTAGTACATAATTCTACCAGACTTTCAAAGAAGAGTTAACATCAAGACTCCTTAAATTATTCCACAAAGTAGAAACAGAAGGGATATTGTCTAATCATTTCATGGGGTTATAATTACTCTGATACCCAAAAACCACATAAAGAAAACTGCAGATCAATTTCCCTTCTGAATACAGATACAAAATACTTAATAAAATACTTGCAAAAAAATTCAAGAACACATCAAAAAGACCATTCACCATAACCAAGTAGGCTTCATGCCAGAGATGCTGGGACGGTTCAATGTAATCTACCATAAAAACAAAAAGAAAGAAAGAAAGAAAGAAAGAAAGAAAGAAAGAAAGAAAGAAAGAAAGAAAGAAAACCCACAGAGGATCATCTCACTAGATGCAGAAAAGAGGTTTGAAAAAGCCAACACCCTTCATGATAAAAGTCCCAAGGCACTTCTATGTCCTTTTCTCCTCTCTAGCTTTCAGCAACAACCTTCAAACTGGTACATCCTACTTAGCAGAAGCACCCTCACTCATACTCTGTATGCGATGCCCACTGCTGTTCAGTCCAACCTCTTGCCCACTTTCCTCAGCCTCACTCACATTCTGTGTACAAGATGCCCACTACTGCCTGGTGCACCCTCTTCTCATTACTATCTCCTTGGCCTTAGCTCTCTATACCAAAGCTCTCAGTGCTGTGTTCTTCATGTTCCAAGGAGGAGATAGACCATTCCATGCCTTTGTATAAGCCTATGTACTAGTAATTCTCAAACTCATTTTTTTTCTAACCTGGACCTCATACTTGTTCTTCACAAATAGATACTTGATTGACTTCTTTATTGGATCCATTTTCCGTGGTACCAGGAACTATCATTTTTCCTCTGTGTGCTCAAGGAAAATAGCTGATGGCTCATGACCATACTTTGCCACCACCTCAAGGGAGATGCTTTGATGCATACTCTCGTGTGCATCTATAATGTAGGTGTGCTACTCTGGATAGGTGCCAGAGGCCATCTCAGCCCCAGATTTCCCTGTGGAGTCAGCTGAGGCCCTGTTATGTCTGTACACTGACCTCCCCCTTTGCTGAGGACATCTTCCTGACCCACACCAGCATTGCTCCATTGGGCCAACCTATAGGCTCCCTGTCCTCAAATCTCTGTCAAAGAGTCAATTACCCAGAGACCCAGCAGGGAGTCCCCAGTAGTTGACAGGTCCTTTCATATGTCAACTTCACTAGGTCAGACACACAATATGTTTTTAACACCACTACTGATATCACTATAAATATATTTTTAGGTGTGCTTAATGCCAAAATCGATAGCCTTTAAACAAAGAGCATCCCCTCCGGGCTGTGGAGAACCTTATCCAATCAGAACTCTCAGGAAGGAAAGAGTGGCTTTCACACAAAAAGAGGGAATTCCACCTCCAGATTACCAACCACCCCACCTACACACACAGCTCACTGCATTGAACCTTCTCCAGCAGCTCTGCCCCGTCTGCTCCCCTCTGCATCACAGTCTAAACTTCCTCCCAGGTCTCCAGCGGGCTGGTTGGCTGTGTGGAGTTTATGCTGGCCAGTCCCAGAATTATATAAGTACCCATCTGTCTGTCTGTCTATCTACATACCTATCTATCTTTCCATCCATCCATCCATATATCCAACTATCCTCAGTCCATCTATTATCTCTCCCTTTGTTTTGTTTCTCTGGAAAACCAGACTAATAAACAAACACATCCAGTTAAAGCCCCCACGTTTCTGTGGTCCCAGTAGCTCTGACCTCTGCATCAGCCATACTTGTATGTTTCAGTCTTTAGGTGGGTGGGTACACATTTTATTCCTCAGTGTAAAAAATCCTACAAGAAATTCTTTTGCCTTGGTTCTGTGTTCAGGGTGTCAGAGGACACAGCCTAGTACTTCCATGACCAAAGTCTAACCATTTTCTCCACACCTGTAAGGAGGCACCAATGGTGGGAGCAAGGGAACGGGGAGAAAAATAGATGCCCTAAGGTTTGAAGGGAAGATGCTTTCCTGCCCCACTGAAAAGGGCTGGTGTTGTGCCACCCCCGCAAAAAAAAAAAAAAAAAAAAAAGTAGTGATGACCATTTCGGGACCACCAGGCTGAAAAGTGAGTGGCTGACAGGACCAGTGAGGAGAGATAAGGACCCATGTCTTACCTGCCATCCCTGCTTCATCTCAGACAGTGTCCCAGGAGGGGGTCGGCAGAGGAGGAGTGTCACTTCCTCTGGAGCCCCACGCAATAAATTGAGCACTTCCTGCAAGAAACCCAGTCACAGTCATATCTGGGTTGCCTCATTGGGACCTGCTGCTTTGTGCGCCCAAGAAACCATCTCCCTGCCTTGACCTACAGCTTGGCTCCAGAGAACTTGGGAAAACACCACTGTAAACTTAACTTCCCAAACACCCAGGAACCACAGTGTCTTGGCAACTCACAGCAGCAATACACAGAGGCCTTCCAGAATCTCTTCCTAATGAAGCTGAGGCCCTAGAGCTGCTCCCCGGTGGGAACCTTCTCTGAGGACCCTGCCTGCTTCTGTCTACATTGGAAAGAGGGGCACTCTTTCCAAAATGCATTCTCCTAGTGAGCCACCTCCCTGCTCACCCCAACCACACAGATCACAGAACCTGCACTTGCTGGCCACTGCCTTTCAAACTGCCCTCTGCCATCTGCTCATCTTTGTAACACAGCCTAAGCCTCCACAGTCCTGAACCTGTGCTCTAGCCACACTCTCACTGCTGGAGCACATAGTGTGTTTGTAGTTCCCACTTCCTGTCCCCACCAGGATCTTCCATCTTCCCTGCCTTCTCCATATTTGGGGCTACATAACTCTTTGTTGGGACCCGTGCTCCATGTGACAAAGGGTGTTCAGCAGCATCACTAGTCTCTACCCATGAGATGACAACAGCACATATCAGTTGTGACAACCTCGGTTGTCTCAGGGTTCACCAAGAGGTGACATCCAGCCCCCTTGAGAATCTCTGATCCAGGAGATCCACAATGTCCCCTCGGTTGCCCAAGTCTGCCACTGATTGTATTCTTCAAGTCTATATCAGGAATGTCCTCAAAAGGCTCGTATGACAAAAGCGTGGTCCCCAACTCATGGTGTTTGTTGGGAGGTGATGTGATCTACAGGAAGTGCAGCCTAGTTGGACAGCCTAGTTGGGCTGTGTCCCTGGAGGGAATATTGGTTCTCTGTCTTTTTTGTTTCCCTGCTATCTAGCAGTGTGTGTGTGTGTGTGTGTGTGTGTGTGTGTGTGTGTGTATTTTCTCTGCCTCTGTCTCTCTGTTAAGCTCTCTCTCCCTCTGTATGTCTCTCTCTAGGTATCTCTGTCTCCCTGTCTTCTCTCTTTCTTTCCCTTCCTCTCTCCATCCCTCTCACCCTCTCTTCCTCTTTCTTTCCATCTCAGCTATCATGAGGAGAGAGGCTTCACTTTGCCACACGTTTCCTACCATAAAGTTTGCTTCACCAGAGACTCATAGCCAGTGTGACCAAACAATCATGGCCTAAAACCCCTGAAACTATGAGCCCAAACCAAATTTCCCTTCTTAAAGTCAGTTTTCTCGGGCATCTTGTCCCAGTGGCAGAAAACTCACAGCCCCTCTTCCTGGCACCTGGATATGTACACAGAACCCTGGGTTTTTCTTGCATGATTTATCCTCTCTATCGTCTGTAGTTTTCATGTTTTTCTCAGCCCCATCATGACCTGTGAGGATGCACAGCTGTCTCCTCACCATCATCATCACCCCCATGTCTATGGTCCCCAGCAGTGGCTTAGAGATCCACACTTGGATCACATAGACATTTGAAGACAAGGCCTCCTCATCGAAACTCATGCAGTTCTGGGAACACACTGTACCCCCTATCCAGCTCAAGCTACTTTCTGTTTGAAAACCATGCTTTGACCCACACTTATGGGCTGCATGAAGCATCCTTATGGGCTTGACTGGAGGGAGGGACCAGAAAGAGAGGGAGGTTGGTGTTGGCTCCTGGTGTCCTCTGTTGGGTCATCATAGGATGATTACATCCCTCAGTGAAGGCCTCAGATCATGTCAGTGAACCCTTGTTACCCATTCTGTCTCTTGGTTTGGGTAGCTGCTCCTTCTCATCACCTTTTGAATGGGAAGGTGGATAGCTGTACTCCATCTACATCACTATACTCACCTCTAACTTGCCAATAGCATGCCCATACCACTGTTAAAGTCTCCTCAAATAACTATTTTCTGCCAGTACTCCAACTAACACAGACATTTCCTTGAGATTTTGTATTACAAGTCTCTCCCACATTCACTATCATGTTATTTTTATTTTTAATTATGTTTTTGCCCGTGTGTCTCTGTGTGAGTGTGAACATGTGAATCCAGGTGCTGCAGGGATCAACAGAAGTATCAGATCCCCTGGAGCTGGAGTTACAGGAAGTTGTGGGCTACTGGACACTAGTGCTGAGAACCAAACTCAGACCCCAAAACCGTCTGTGCTCTTACCCACGGCGCCATCTCTCTAGCCCCTCGTACTTTTGACCATGCGTGGGACAGTTTATGCTACATTATGTGTGCAAAGATATAAATTCAGCACATGAATCTCAGGGTGAGTGAAAAGGGACCCTTGTTAGCCCCTCCAGCCTCACACTGCCTCCCTGAATTTATACAGAGAGACCATTAGTCAGCACATATGCCAGGTTTCAGGCTCGGGTTCCCTGAGGGCCCTAGCAAAAAGCAGTACTTAAGGCACATATTTATAAACGGAGATAGAAAATAACTGTGGGCACAGCCTGTTGATTACTTTCTGTGGGCACCAAGCCCACAGGGGGTGAATTCCAGGAGCCCAAAGTATTCTCTATAGGGATGGTCCTCAAAGAAACATGATTTCTCCCAGCTCACTCCCAGATCTGTACTCCCCTCCCCCAGTTCTGAGCACCTGGAAGGTAAGGCCTTCTATGGACTTTCCATTCACTGCCAGGATAATGTCACCAGCTGCAATGGCCCCATGTTCTTCAGCTGGCTGTCCAGGAAAGAGCCTCTTAATCTTTACAAGGTTGCTCTTGAGATGACTGCAGTTTCTTCTCTCCATCTGCACAAAACTGAATCCCAAACCACTGCTATTCTTCTTCAGTTTGACTTCAAACTTAGGACCTGTAACATTGGGAGTTCATGAAAATGGGCCCTTCGGTGGATGGCAGCTGGCTGGCCTTGACCTGTGAGTTGTCGTGGAGATGAATTGCTTCTCTCTTGCAAAGAAGTATTTCATGTGCTAACTTTGATGATGGAGTCCATCACACACAGGACAGATCAGGGCTGCCCACAGATAGAATCTAAGTTGTAAATGCAAACCATAAAAATCCTTTTAACACTCTTGAGTAGCTACACACTTTAAAAGTGAAAGGAAACAGGTATAAGGTAAAAAATATGTTGTATTTAACTCACTACATCCTCATAAATACTTTGGGAAAGACTGTGTTGAAAGTGCATTGAATGAACCTAACCTTCCCAGCATCCTAGTTGAGCAACACAGCCCACTGCAGTTTCCCCTGGCAACTGTGGTTCTAAGCCACATCTCACTACTGCTTCCCAGCATCTTCATGAGAAACTAAAGCTCCAAGTATGTTCTTTTGAATACATGAGACCTTCACACCTCACCATGCTATGCAAGAGACTATCAACGTATCTAAATAACTATCTCATCAATATGCAATTGACACAAAAGATGATTAAGGTCGCCTTCATTCTTCTTGTAGACTAAATCTTTGCTCTCTAGTTCACAATATTTCTTTGGATTACCACACTTTAAACATCACACATGACAAGTATTTAAATATAAACAACTAAATGTATATGTAAGGAAGGATCTTTAGACACACACCGTCTGCTTATAGTATCCAGTAAAACTTGTATTACATGTACATTGTGATGTGAGATCTTAACGAAGTTTTAGTTTATGCAACATGCGATTTTACATAAACAGATCACAGGGACACTGACAGTCAGCTCTGAAGAATGTTCTCCCTGCTGTTTTGTTTAGCCATGTACACTGACCATAAGATTGGTTACCTCTGGTCTGCCAGAGATAGACACAGCCTTGGGCATCTAGGGAGTCTATTAACCAAAGGGAACCTCTGGGTTTCTCCTGCTTTGTCCTCACTGATTTAGAAGACAATGGGTAAAGAGAGTGACAGAGCTGTGGATTGTAGATTTTCATTGGAGCAAGAATGAAAATAGCAGAGAATGAGGTCTGTAGCATGAGGTACTACCATTCGGAGTGCAGAGTTGTTGAGGGGATAAGAATTTAATAAGAATGGCACCACCATGCATCCAACCTGCCTCACAATTCCTGTGGATCCACCATAACAATCCCTATGGAAGGAGTGGGATATGGTCAAGCTCCAACCCAAGGTGTTCTATGGAAACAGGCCTTTCCTAGCAGGAAACAAAATCACATAGACATGCAGAGAGGAGGCTCGTCAAGAGATGCTGTATGTCCCTCTAGGCTGGTCACGGCTGGCTTTGACCTTTAAAGGACACTACTAACAAAACTGGCTTCCTAATCACCTTGTGTCCGGGTCTGCCTTGTCAGCCCCAAGATGTCTCCATCAGCCTTGATGGAATGTAGAAGCAATTGTATTTGAAAATACTTGACCCTTTCATGTCAATTTCATCTCTTCTCTAAATATTTGTGTACAAACATCAATATTCAGGCCACTGATCAAGAGACCTCATATGACTTGGGAGCAGAATTACTGATGGTAGTCATTTGGACACAATGTATTTTTGTTTTTCCAAGAATATTTTCCACCAGCTTGGACAACAACCATGAGCCACCCTGCTGGCATTTTTTTTAAATCCAGAGGAAGTCTCCCTGCTTTTCCCCTTTGACTTGACAACTCCAAAGCAGTATATAATGATATGACAATAGTACCACTCAATTCTCTCTCCTCTTACCATCTGTCACCGAGACACAGCTCGCAGGTCTGCCAGACCTGGCTGTTACCAGGGAAACAGCCATGTGTGCATCTCCCATTCTGTCATCAGCAGAAGGACACTGCGGTGTAGCCCTGGGGCCTCTCCTCTCTAAGACCAGCCGTGCCACCTAGAGAGATGAGAAGACAAACTCCATTTATACTTCATGTGGTAACTGCAGATGCTTTGTAATTTCCAATGTTTCCAGAGAGCTGCCTCACTTGATTCTCAAATGTAAATCTCTAGGGTAGCCCTTGCTGGGATACAGATTGGCCAACCCAACTGTAACTAGTCAAGTGGCACTGGAGGTAACATGTATACCTCCGCACCAATATACATCGGCACCAGCACACGCTGTGACAAGCTTGTTTCCTCCCCGCTAATTCTCCCTCCCCTGCCTTCTCATTCTGCTCTGAGTTGCTCCTTCAGCCTTGGAGCCATCCCCCTATTAGCTTCTCAAAGGGCCACACTTGGAGCCATCCGGCTCTCCCCTTTCTGCCTCCAAGCTCTTTTGGTTTTAAGGCTTACGTGTTCTCCAGCAAAGTGACTCCCTCAGAATGGCTCCGTTCCCTCTCTGCTACAGCAAGGAACATTTCTTTGGTCCACTCCCAGCATGGCTACTAGTGAGCTGGTCTAAGACATGAAACTGAACTAGCAATGATCAATTAAGAGTCCCCAATAGCTCCCATCACCTAAATCCCAAAACCACAGATGGCATCAGAGTCCCACAATGGTCAACCCTCCCCCACTTTCCCTGGCTTGACTTCTCATCCTTCCCCACAGCATCTCATGCTCTCATTACCCAGCACAGTTCACAATGCAGTGACTGGACCTCACCAGGAAGCTTATTAGAAATGCCAAGCTTCCATTTGGGACACTTGACCCTGACTCCATCCTTCTGCTGCAATTGTCATTAAGCACCAGACCCATGACACCACCATGGCAATTCCTACTTGGCATTGTGCCAGTGTCCAGACATATTTCCTCTAACCATGTGCATTAGTGACAGCCCAATAAGCAGACAGTGTTAATTATTTATGACCCCCCTCCTCAGAATATGAGGAGAGACTGCAAATGTACCTGGCAGTTGGCGTGAAGGGCCTTGAAATCTCTTCTCTCCCTCTTAGCTCCTCTACCACCAAGAGAAAGCCATGGAACTATGTGGCTTGGGATACTGGGACAATTAAAGAACTCCAATGTGAGATAGAGAACAGAGCCCGGTGGCAGTCCTGGGACTCTGCCTTAGTATCACAGGGACTAGAGGGTACACTGAGATTCTAGCTCCCAGCATCCTGAATCTCTACCTCACTGTGGTGTACAGAAGCCTAGAACAACCAAACTCAGGTCCTGGGAGGAGTAAGCACAGGATGACAGACAAGAACATGAACAGGGAGATGGAGGTCACTATGGGTAAAGTGTGGAAGAGACAGGGCCTGGGTGCAGGTGGATAACCTGGTCAAAGGGGTTGGCACAGGCAGGGGTACAGCCTGCAGGAGCCTATGTTCTCCCTCGGTTCTGTTCTGCTGTCTGAAGCCCAAATCAAAGCAAGCAACTATAAGCTTTCCAAATCTATTTAAAGGGTGTGAGGTTTTCTACTTTAGAAACATCTGTCTGCTACCTCCTGGGTTTCACATTCTCATAGAAAAATGGTGTGAAGATCAAAAGTGAAAAGGGGGGGGGATGTAGACTAAAAAGGCCCTATTTTGTTTCTTGGCTGCCTCCCTCCTACCTGGAGGCAACTGTAACTTCTGGAATGCTCTAGAAGTAAGAAGAGCTCCCCAATAAAGGTGTACTCACCTGCCCAGGACCCTTGAGACACTGCACAGCCTGCTTGTGAGTCAGACCACATAGACTCATTCCATCCACCTGCAGGAGCCGGTCACCTGGGAAAGGAATGCTGGTCATGTGCCCAGTCCCCCAGGGATGCAAGAACTCTCAATAAGCCTCCTGCCTACTGGGCAGGAAGCAGAGCTGCCAGGTGGCCCTGAGCTCAGCAGGAGCCTGAGCTTCAGCTGCCTCTCTGACAACTCTGGACCCCTTCCTGAGGCTTACAACAGAGCAAGGACATGAAAGCCTGTCTATTATTGGCTCACGAAGTGGCCAAGCCAGGTCTGGTCACCCTTATCTTACCTACCATTTTCCTGTGAAACTGTTTTTTAAAAGACTTTTCAACTCACTTGTGGGGGGGGGGGGTAATATTTATATCCCCCAGGATGTTTTCTATTTCAAAAAAAAAAAAAAAAAAAAAAGGTCAGAAAGACAATAGTTGATGTTGGGAATACTGGAACTCAAGGGAAAAGAGAAATAAATAAGATCTTTAGTGTCTTTTTCTAGTTCAGTTGGGCAGTTTCAGAGAATAAAAATCACTCCTTTTCTTCAGAACAATGAGAAATCCAGGGCAGAAAAGAAGCTCTCAGTGCCCCTGTGCTGAAGTGGGGTCACCAATGCGAAGTCTGCTCTCTAGAGGAGCACAGGGAGAAAGCTCACAGCTGTGATATCCCCTGTGCTAATGTGGGGGTCTCCGGTATCAGCCCTGTCCTCCTAAGGAAACAGTGTTTGGCACTCTCCCCCAGCAGCGAGCTTCTCTTACATTTCCTAACCAATTTACATTATGAACTTTAGACCATGGCCAACTGATTCAGTGGGTGAAGCCCATGAAATCCTCCCCTTCCCAGGCAAAGAAATCAGGCCCTGAAGAGACAGGAGGCTCTAGAGCTGAAATGAGCAAGGCTTGAGCTGTCCCTCTCAGCCAAGGGTCGAAACCACAGAAATCACAACTGCCGGCGCGACTTGGCCCTCACCCTGTAGGATCTGTCCTTCCTTGGCAGCTGGACCTCCAGGAGTGATGGATTTCACAAAGATTCCTCCATGAGGTACACTTGTATTGATGCCACCCTATGGAATACAAGGCCATACTCAGAACCCAGCTGTCCCTTCTGGGGTGCCTTCTGACCTCCCTCACAAGAGAACCTAACTTCTCCCAACTACAATCTAGCCCACTCTGACAGTCTTCTGTATTCACCTGGACAAAATCTCTTTCCCAGTGAGCAAGATGGTCAGGTTTACACAGACCTGACAATATAGGCGGAGTGAGAAAACCAAGCCAAGCCAAGCCCCAGTTGGCACATGGCAGTTGCTCAGTAACCAGAGTCATGTATGATGCACAAAATCTATGTAGGCAACAAGCAGCATAGGTAGGCTTGCCCTAAGGACTGAGGACTTGTGTCTGACACACTTTGTATATTTGCATGCTTCTTTGTGAACACAAATTCAGGAGTAAAAATAAATTTAAACTACTCAGTATCTTGCAACTCTTTTTTTTTTTTTTTCCTTCAAGACAGGGTCTTTCTATCTAGCCCAGACTGACATTGAACCCAGATCCTCTGCTGCCTCCTAAATTGTGGAGTTATAGGCATGTGCCACTGTGCCTGGCTCCACAGCTTGTTTTTTTAATTTGACAATAAAGTATGAAACTGCAGGTCAGAAGATCAAGATCCAAGACTGTGTCTTTATTTCAGTTCACTCTATAAAGGTAAATGATGGGAGATGTCATTCTGTAAATGTTTCTCTTATTGGTTAATGAATAAAGCACTGTTGGCCAATAGCAATGCAAGATAGGCAGGACTAGGAGACTAGGAGGAGAGAGGCAGTAGGAGGGAGGAGATTCAAGATGGTGGACTGACAGAGAGAAAGCCAGCCCCTCTCTCTGGTAAGATGAGACCACATGGAAGTACTTAGATTAATAGAAATGGGTTAATATTTAAGACAGAGCTAGCCAATAAGAAATGCTAGTAGCAGGCCAATAGAATTATATCTAATATAGCGTCTCTGTGTGTTATTTGGGGCTGGTGTGGTAGTGGGACCATACCAGAGGGGGAAAACCTACTCATAACAAGTAAACATACATATAGATAGTTATTTTTTCAATGGTATATCTTTCCCTCCTTCCCAGCCTCTACTTCCTATTACACTACTAATGACACAATAATAATGAGTATATGTTCATACACCTCCCTTTGCTGTTCTCCATACTAGTATAACCATATAGAGTTCAAAATGGACAGCCAAGCCAGTCAGCTGAAGCACTCTGTTTTAGTTTGAATCTTGAATGTCCCTCATAGGTCCCATATTAATCCTTGGCTCCTGGCTCAGTGCTATTGGAATGCAATAGAACCTGTAAGCATGGAACAGAGTGGAAATTCTTTAGTCCCAGGAGTGAGCCCTTGGAGAGGCTTATGAGACTCCATTCTTCCTCCTCCCTTCACTTCCTAGCCATGATAGAGTGGCTTTATCCACCCATCCCTGTATCATGAGAGCTACCACAGCTCCAAAGCAGCAGAGTCAGCCAATCATGAACTGAAGCCTCTAAAACTGCAGGCCAGAATGAACCTCTTTACTTTGTAATATGGTTATATTTCTGGTATTTGCTGTAGTTGTGGGAAGTTAAATTAATAGACACTATGGGCTAATGGAAGTCTATGCAAGACTCAAGACTACTTTGAAACTCTGTGTTCTGGCAATGCAAACACAAAGTGGCCAGTCACCAGAAAAGAGCCACCACCCAGGATCTGGCTGGTGCTGTGAACTCACACAGCCTAGCTAGCTTTCCTTGCTAAACCTCGGGCTTTTAGCCCTCTACCTCTGTAGCTCCTCAGCTGACTTAGGAAAGCATACTGAACTTGGACACAAACAATGCAGTTCTCCCATCCCAGGCAAACACATTTAAATTCATTTCACACTGTTTAGTATCTTTGTGTCTTATTAACAGATACAGACCAATCCAACTCAGCTAGATTGTGTGCTGTATGGTACAGAGCTCAAAGTCAGTGTTTTGTATATGCTTCCCTTCTTAGTGTGTACCTGATGGACACCTTTCCATGTGGGCAGAGCTAGTGCTGATTCTTTTGTCTTGGGGATATCAACTTGGATCCTACGCATGAGTGCCAGAGTACATGCAACCTTTCTCCATTGATCTGTACTCATTTTCTTCAGTGTGCTTGTCACTGTTAGCAACATGGCATTCAACACCTTCACATGCATGGCCCTGCTTAGTGGGATCCACATTTCAATGTCTGTAGGCCCAGGGATATGCACATTTTTTTTCATAAAAGTAGATTTTTGTCAGCTTACATCCTAACGAGAATATGTGTGCAATTATTCACATTTCCACCAGCTCAGTGTGATAGTATCCTTTTCTGTATCACACCAGCTATATTTGGCCAAGCTGACAGTTATAAATTCTAAAGTTTCCCTTTAGCTTCCTTGTATACCCCAGGAACTTTTCATGGATTTGAATGACTTTCATTTGTTTAATGGCCACTTGGATTTAAGGGGGAAATTTCAATAATTATTCTTGAAATGAAAATCCTCCAAAGACAATCATGTATTTGCTAGTCCAAAGAAACCACCAGTCTCCTCCTGGCATATGCATATATCTGAATAATCTAAACTTCAGCAAGTTTTATAGATGAGAAATTGCTGTGTTTGGTGTTTTATGATAAGATTGTTTTATCAAGCCAAGAATAAATGGACCATTTTAGTTCTAGCCTATTTGGTCCCCTATAGACTTCATAACCCTTATTTCCTGGTGTTAAACTCATCTGCTGGCGGTTAAGCAATTCAAGTATCCTTGCTGTAGATGTGCAGATTTGCTCTCCTCACTCATCATTGAGTTACCTGTGAAGTTCTTCATTGCCTTTGACATTTCCTTACATGCTGGGAATTTCCACTCTCTCTCTTTGGATCCAATAGTGTCATCACTGAAGTCCAGCCCTACCCCAGAGTATTAAGTAATGGGTCATATTCAGTGTTCACTAATACAAACAGTGCCTCCCCAACCTGGACCTCTGAATTTGTGGGCACCACCGTTGTGGACACTATTTCCTGACCCTTTGGTGATTCGTTACATGGGGAACCTCCCTTCTTCGACACCTGACAGTAGAGCTCAAAAGCCAAATGCAAAATGTCAGCTAGGATGAAGACCTCAAAGGCTAAACTTTACCTTGGCCCCCAGAGGATGGAGCACACGTTTATGTCCCACTTGGGATGATAGCAAGTTACCCACTCACCTTTGGTTTCCATCCATGAAGCCCTACCTTACTGTCCCTTCTTGCTGTCCAGCTTAAGCTTGGAGCCAGACTACATTACCCAACTTCTCTCACATTGCTTCCTTCTTCCCATCCTCTTCCTTAGAACCTGCCCACAGCACAATCTCAAGCTGCTCTGTGTCTCCCAGTTTGTCTTTGAATTCTCATTTCACACTGAAAGCTCAGTTTACCCCTTACATACAATGTGCACTTAAAGACGATGAACACATTATCTGAGTGGGAAGACCCCTCAAGGCTCTGGATGGAATCCCTTTTGCTATTTTCCAAGCTCCCGAAAAGTCTTACAGTCACGCTGAATCCAAGTGTTCCATCTTCTTTAATCAGCTCCACGAAATAGATTTCACCAGCATTGGCTTCTGGAGGGGATGGAGGACAATAACCAGCAGCCTGCCCCAAAAAAACAAACAACAGAAAAACAGAGCCATGAGGCACCTGCCCTACCCCTGCAGATTCTCAGCTCCCATTCACTACTAGGAGCCAGCAGCATGGCACCCAGGAAGAACAGGAGCCTAGAGAGACATCTCCAGCTTCATCACTTCCTTCCCATGTGACCTTGCGGGACTCTTTCAGACTGTCTAGCTTCCATTTCCTAATCCATGTAACTGGCCTCTAAGGATGCCTCCTAACCATGACTGGGAAAATGCTGGTGATGGCAGGGACTGAATATGTGTGCATTCCTCCTGTCTGCACTCACTGGGCAAACATCCATGTTAGAACTGTTCAGTTACTTCCTGCATCACTCAGCATATGATGGCAGCCAAGTACAGCATGCTGGCTACCAGCAACTCCTTGAGGCAAAAAGCAAATCTCAGGAGGATCTGACCATCCTTAAGCAAGACTAGTCATGTTATGGTTGACTTTTCAATAGCTAAAGGTTTTATGAAAAATATCATATTACATACCAGGCAATTTCCTTGGTATTTGTGACAATAAATATGTAAGACTTGTTCATCCACTCAACTATGTGTAAGACATTTGTTGAATACCTATTATTTCCAGGATTCTGTGGTTTGAACATCTCCACAAGTTACCCTTAAATGTAGCCACCATGAATACAATATTAAGAGATGAAACTTTCATAGTGATTAGGTCATGAAGGCCTCATTGTTACAGGGATACCTGTGTATAAAAAGGAGAAATTTGTCCTCATTTTCTCTTTCCATATCTCATGCTCATACATATTCTCCCCTATGTCGCACCTCCTGCCATACCATGACACAACACAATAACCTTTACCAGACGTGGCTGCTCAATCTGACTCTTCCCAGCCACCAAATCTTTATCCACATAAACCATTGTTTGTAATTCACCTATTCTATTATGGCAACAGAAACGGGAATAAACCTGGCATTACTGTGCAAGTTGCTGGAGACAAGGATAAGACCCGCATGCCCATGTGGAATTGCTATCTAAGGGGCTTGAGGCTTTTAGCAAGGAGACTCCCAATCAGATAACCAATATGTTCATGTGGATAGGATAAAGGGAGTGTTATCACCTGAACACTCAGAGATGCAGCTAGCATAGGGAAAAACTGAAATGTGAAGCCAGGTCTGGCTGAAACATAAGCTCAAGGGCACATCTGGAGTTTCTACAAGGTGTGCTGAACTGGCTGACCAATGCTTCTAGATAGAAAATGCGCCCCACCCCCTCCTTGCTGTTCATATTCCACTCTTATAAAGTGCCCAAGGATGCTACAGGACACATAAGCCAGCGATTATCGCTAGCATTATCATTATCTCTGACTCTGTGTCCGGATTTTAGGGGGCAGGATCTAAGGCAAATTCTCACTATGTAAACCTTATTAGACTTGAGCTTGCCACACAGACCAGGCTAACCTCACATTTGTGGCAATCCTCTGACCCCAGCCTCCCAAATGCTGGATTACAGGGGTGAGTCTGCAAGTCCAGCTGCATCCAGCTTATCACGCCTGAGCCATGTGAATGAACAATATGACCAACTAAGAAGATAGTAACATGGAAAGAGCCCTACTCATGCCAGACCTTGGTGCTGGGGACAGAACATACTATAACATAATAAAGCCACTTGGCAAAATGACTCTCCTAAGTTTAAGGAACCTATGAGTAGGCAGGTCTCTGGCCTCCTCTGGCTTGTCTAAACTGAAGCCTGTCATTGGAACCAAAGATTTTCTAACCTTTCCCTGAGCATGGCATAAGGCCCTCATGTGTGAAATACCTTCCCTCGTCCCATAGGAAGTTGCAGCCTTAGCTCAAAGGCTAAAGGGTCAGGGATAAAGAGAATTGAACCAACAGCCTCAATAAGTGTCCTCCAGTTGGCTCATGCTTTGTACTTAGTCACAGTTCTCCACTTACTCCAAACCTGCTATAGAATATACTAGTTTAAATGTGTCTTTGGGTTTTCATTTCCTCACAAAATCTACTATAAAAACAAAATCAATAAATGTGTATGTTCTTCTCTTACTGATATGCTAATATGTTACAAGGACCCTATCCAGGAAATGAGGAGGAAAAGATTCCTTCTGCACAATGGGCATAACATGCTTCTCTGAGCTGTGAGTAAGAGACCTGTCCATTCAATTCTTTGCTATGTCAGCAGCTGCCTAGAGCCTAATACATATGCAGTGGTTGACAATTATTTGTGGAATGAAAGAGAACATTACATGGTTGAAGCCATTGAGTCCAGAGGAAGCAGCAGCCCCACCTAGATTGGGAATAGAATGTGGAGGGCCAGCTTGTCCTGTGGATATGCATGGCTAGTCCTCCCTTGGGGGTGGTTCATGAAACACAAATCCCTTGAATGCCATGGCTTAGTAATAGACTCAAGTACCATTTTCCCCAAGATTTTATCCAAAACAATAAACCCAACAATTTGCTCAATATGGAACACAGGCTTCATCAATGAGATCCTTGTGGACAGACTTTACCCTTCTACTCCCACAAGAGACAAATGGGAGACATAGAGCAACCTGTTTATTTAAGGAAGCCCCAAAGAACAAGAAAGTCTGGGCCAGGGAGGAGAGCTGTTACCAAGTCTGTTTGAATGGTTCTAGAAGTTTTCAGAGAAGCAGTGAGCAGCTGCTGAGCCTGGGGTAGAAGTAGTAGCTACTGTAGCCACTCTGAGCCTGGGGGTGAGGAGACCAAGTGGCTGACAGAAGCCAGGAAGTCATTCTGCAGTAAAGAGCTGCTGGTAGGTTCTGGTCATCAATGCAGAGATGGCCACCTATGTCAGTGACAGGCTTATCCCTGTTTGTGGCAGAATTTCAGGCTCTTGCCAAAGCTTCTCCCAGGAAGAATCAACTGGAAGAGCCTATGAATTTCAACTGCAAGGGATCCAGAACAAAAGAAAAGGGTGAACCTGAGAGACTATGGGGGACTTACCCACCCAGCCACCAAGGAGACATCAGGCAATGCAGAACAGGGACTGAAGCCAAGGCCATACTTTGCCTTCTTGCTCCATGGGGCAATGGTAAGCACATGACTATTTAAACACTAGCTCAAGGAAGTCAAGATTATAAGACACCTAGTGGTACCTGCCTTGCTCTAGGCATCAATCAATTCCCTCATGTGGTCATAATCAGAAATAGTTCTAATGAGTAGGAACACTGGAGGCTCTGAACTGATCCTTAACCCCCTGTCAGTTGCTTTACCTGTTTCCCATGCCAAGAAGAAGTTAAGGAACCCATAGCAGCTTGACATGGCACATCGAGAGAAGAGGACAGCACAGGACATGGGAGCTTCACTGGATCCACAGCCTGTTCTCTTTCCTCTAGACTCTAGGATGTAGACCAAGAGGATAAGCATCTTTAACAATGGAAGGGAGGGTGGAGGCCCCTGCCTGGGTGATGAGCCCTGCACCTGAGCCATTTCCAGTCCTCTGACATTTCTGTCCTTGTCATATGGGTGTGCTGACTCTCTTCCCTGGTGCCCATTGCCCAAGATGTCTGTACAGAACATGCCAGAATGTCCTGTGTTGTTCTTTTCTTCACTGGAGGTGTTTCCGCAAACACCTATAAAAACAAGTCAAGAAGTCAATGCTTGGAGAGGCTGGCATATTGTTAGCATCCTATGAGACACAGAATTTTCCTTGAGTGACAAGAGCTTTTTATAGTTGCCATTCGGCATTTCATGAAGAATGTTGCATGTAGAATAAATGGAAGATTCTAGAAGTGATCAAAAATGCAAATAGAAGTCACTTGCATGGCCCAGTTATTAAAACATGAGAGCAAGGATAGTGAAGGATGCCAACCCCTCTCTATTAAACTCCTGTCATTCCTGTGATGGGAGGGGATATGAGAAAAAGTGAGGGGAAAGGAAAGGAGGGGAGGGGATATGGGAAGAAAAGAGAGGAGAGGAGGGGAGAGGAGGGAAGGGAATGATGAGATCTTTTCATCCTCTCAACAGGCCACCAGGAAGGTGTCATCTAAGTTTAATTAGGAACATATTAATTATTTAGTGAATCAATTAAAACAGAATCAAAAGGATGAAGTAGTTTGTCCTAAATCCCACATTCAACATGTAGGGCTTCTCTTAACCCTGACCGTCTACAAAATCATGAGGAGAAAACTGTTGTCAGCATGTGACATGAAGATCAACATGTAGCGCCCTTGGAGTATACTGGGTAATAGCAGGCTCTGGGCTCCTCTAAGTGAAGGCTGATCATGGATTCCTGCTTACTCTAACTGGCAATAGAATAAAGGGAAAAAATAAGATGGAGATCAATAGGTAAACCCTGGAATAAGATAACCAACATTTCTGGCCTTTGATTTATGTCTAAAATAGATATGTCAGTTGCATGACATTGCAGGATTAATAAAAGAGATTATTCATAGACTAGGGATTTTATATGCATGTATGAAGATGTGTATGTACATACATATGTGTACTCATATACACATATATAGATTGGCATATATAAATCAGCAAATACATTTACTGTTGGTGTGCTAATACAATATGCATGTAAGTTCAGCAGATGCATGTTGGAGAAAGGCTCCTTTCAGACATGAAGGTGGGAATTCACAGGTAGATTTACTACTTTGAAACAACTTACTAGAACCCAAGCAAGTGCTCAAGCTCACATATCTGATGAGTTTTATTTAATAAGTTTGGTCTTGAGTTATCCAAACCTAAGTTTATTTAGCATGGAGTGTGTGGAGGGTGGGGATGTGCCAGTCTGTAAGACCAAGTTCCTGATCATTTTCTCTCAAACTCTACTGTCATTGTCCTTTGGGCAGTACGAGCTGTTCACTTTCTTCCATGCCCTTCATGGAGGCAGAGAATGGGACTTTAGACCTGAAAAGCCAGCCTGTCCCACTGTGTTCTGTGTAACAGAAGTATAAGCTAGGAGTCATGTTGTTTAATTGTGATTGGCAACTTGATAGGATCTAGAGTCAGCTAAGAGCAATATCCCTGGGCAGGTCAGTGAGGGCATTTCCAGGAATGGTTAACCAAGGGGTAAGCCCTTCCTCAGAGTGAGCAGCATCTTTTGACCTTGGCCCAGATGTAGAGACCCAAGGGATAGTAGCACTGCTTGATTTCTGAAACTTCTCTCCTTGCTTCTGAGTATCTTCCCTTAGCCTTGCAGTGTGAACTGAAGACTCGTGGCTTCCCAGGAATCCTCCAGGCCTTTGCTACCGAATGGGGCAGTGGCAGCATCCAGCCTCATGGACTAAGCAGCCATGATCCTCAGCCTCTCCATCACACAGAGAACCACTGCATGCTGGAGTCTAGGTCATTTAAGCCAGTCTAAGTCCCCTTTTATAATATACACCCATTCTTTTGGTTCCATTGCTCTAAAGGACCTTGACCTTCTGTGGGTGATTACAACTCAGTTTACAATCCATTTTTATAGCTGTCATGATGGTCTATTCCCTGCCAGCTCCTAAGGCCCCATCTAGAACAGCTTAACAGGAGACCATCACCAGACCTCTTCCCCCAGCAACAGATCAGCTCAATATAAATATCAACTGTGGGAACACATGTTCCCAACAGGTAACTGGGCCACCATGTGAAGATGGCATGTAACTCCCAGACAGTGGATGCACCTGTTGTCTGGAATTTTAACACAAGAGTGTGGTTAGAGCAATTAGATTTTGGATACCAATGTTTAACATCTTGACCATCATGGTAGGCTGTCCTCGGACTACACTGAATTGTGATTTGGTCATCTAGTATTATTGTCTGACAACACAAGAAGTGAACTGAATGCCATCAATGCAGAGTGTGAAGGAAAATTCAAAGATTACTGACCTGCCTCAGAAAGAGGTGTCAGCGCTGTAGAATCCAACAGAGACAGCAGGTCTTGAGGCTAGTGTGATGGAAGTGTTGGGGCTGCCCCCTCCCCCGCCCCAGGCATTGTGAAAGACCCTACCTGCAGTGAGGGTGAGAGAAAGTCACCTGGCAACAGCATGTGCAAGTGTGAGGCTGGTTTTCCTAGGGCACAGCATGGGGGATGTCTGCATTTAGAAATGAGCCTTGAGTTTGCTCCACACCTCATGCAATTTACAAGATCACCCAGCCAAAAAGCATCAGTGGTCCTTAGTAAGCAGGGTGAGAGGATATCAACCTCCCTCCATCCCCTCTATCAAGAACCCCACCAAAATGGCTTAAAACAAACATAATATTGTTCTTTGGCCTAAATGTTGGTTGCTTAGCTGTTGTTCTTAAGTCAAAACATGAAGAAAACAGCCCTTAACCCAATTAGGACTTTAGGGGTTGATCTGGAGCTACATAAGCAAGAACTCTGTGCAGATGCAAACTGGAGACAATCTCCCTCTCCTTTCCAGTTGCATAAATCTTGGACCTGAGTGTCAATCAGAATTCCCTCCTTGTCATGCAAGGAGAGTGGGCGGGAACACATATACACTGGGTGTATCCAGCCATACATAATGAGGAGGCTGCTGCCTTTCAAAGAGACAAGCAATCATGGGACCCTGCTCTGGCCCTGAGATCTCACAGCATACTGATTTGTGCCACTGGTTTGCCTCCTTGCAAGCCAGAGCCATGCTTGCAGAGAGCTACACAAAAGACCTACATGAAGCTTTGTGTTTTGTGGCCGTGGTGGTAACAGAGGAGGCTGTTCCCTTGCTGACAGTTAGATGAAATGTACCTTTTGACTGAGAGATGATTAATTCTATGTTGTCAGGAGAATTCTGGATCATTCTAACAGCCATGTTGAATGTGAAGCCCTCCAGGCTGATGTGATTCAAGGCTAGTATCTTCCCCCCTAGAAGGAAAAAAGTCTCAATAACCCCATCAAGAAAATGAGAAAGGTAGTAACTTAGAGCATCTCTGGTGATTTAACTTAAGGTATACCTGGTTTGATCATTTTAGCCTTTTCTGCTGGTCCCCCAGGTATGAGGGAAGATATGAAAATGCCGGGTTTTGCTTGGTCTGCATCTTCTCCCTCGTTAATGACAAAACCTGTAATCCAAGATGGCATTTAATGATAAGATGATGCTTAATAACTTTGTGCCTCACACAGCTACCAAGTGGCATAGCTGATAAGAGCATCTGAGCGAGATACCTGGAGAAAGCAGACTGCTCCTTTTACCACCTACAGCTAAAGCTGAAAATGTAGCCCACCGACCCAACTGGCTCTGTGACAGGACTTAGGGTTGCCGGCACCTATCTATGTGTGTGTGTGTGTGTTTTGCATGTGTATAAGTTCATATGCATGTGTACACATGTGGGGTCCCAGAATTTGACACTGGGTGTCTTCCTGGGATGTTCTCCATTTTATTACTTTACAAGATTTTTTTCCTTATGTTTATGGGTGTTTTTGCTTGCTTGTATGTCTCTGTACCATGTGTGTGTGATGCCTGCGGAAGCCAGAATAAGGTGTCAGATCCCCCTGAGACTGGAATTACAGTTGTGAGTCACAATGTGGACTTCAGCCCCTACACTTTACTGAGGCAGCCTCTCACTGAATGCAAAGCTCACCAACTCTATTAGCCAGCTTGCTGAAGTAATCCCTGTCTCAGTTCCGGAGTGCCAGTATTACAGGCATAACATCACACACACACACACACAACTTTTTTAAAGTGGGTGCTGGGGATCTCAACTCTGGTTTCACATTTGCATGGAAAATATTTTACCAACTGAGCTGTCTTCCCAGGCCCAGGGAAGATGATTTCCAACCAAATCCCTCTCTCGGGATCTTCCTTTCTTATGTGGCTTTAAGGACTCTTAAATGTGATTAATAATTGAAGATGAGAAAGATTGCCTACTCCTCTACATCACGAAGAACCTATTTATACTGGAGAAAGGTTGGCACAAGGTGTGTGGGGAAGAGGGTGTTTTATTTTTATCTTGTGCTTAGATGCACTCTGAAAATACATCAGCACTTGCAAGGAATTCTTTGCCCCAAAAGGCTTTGTGTTCTTTGCTGGCACTGATAGGAAGGGGAAAAAATGGAAGGGGTTGTTGAAAAATGCAAGATAGGAGAGAAGAGGCCAGTTTGTGAGAGAGGAAAAGTCAAAGGGAGAACGATGCTCATCCCCTCTCTGCTGAGCGGAGCCTGGGCCTCACCTTCAGGGGACCCTCTTACCAAAACCACGATGTGGGTCACGCTTCAGTGTCACACACACCACATCTTGGTCGGGTCCCTCCCTAAAGCTCTTCCTCCAGCTGCACTGTGGCCCTGGAGGCAGAATCAAAGCACAGTGTTTGGGTTTTCCTCCCAAGTCAGCTGGAACCCAACAAGACACACACGCACATACAAGCAAGAGCAGCTCACAGCAAACCTCCCACCAGCCTGGGAACAACTCATTCAACACATATTTGACTGAACCACAACTGGGCCACTGTAAATCCTCCTCATTGGTGTTAGAGATGGAACTTAGGCCCTTGTACATGATAGGCAAGTGTCCTATAACATGATCTCTCTGTGTTGCTCACACTGGCCTCCAACTCACTATGAATTCAACACTGACTTCAACATCTTGATCATCCTGCCTCTGTGGTCAAGTCTCTTGGATTATAAGCAAGAGCCACCATCCCCACCTAACTTTCTTTCCTGCACTGGTCTTGAGACAAGTCGGAGGGTAAGTGGGGGTTGTACTTCCTGTCAGTGACAACTGAAACTAAAATACAGAGATGAGACAATAGCTTGGATCTTAAATGTCCCTCAAAGGACCATGACTTGATAGTTTTGCTGTCACTGTGAATTGCTACTGGATGTAGAACTGCCTTTAAGAGAGGGTGCCTTTAAAGGGTATAGAAATTGAGTCATTGCATGTGTGGTCTTGAAGGGAATACTCAACCACAGGTTCCTCATCTCTCTGTCTCTCTGCTCTCTGTCTCTCTTGACTCTCATCAGTGAACAGGACTCACCCTCATCCACTCCCGCTATGATAGACTCTGCCATCACAGACCCAAAGCAACAGGGCTCAGCAACCTGTACTGATACCTCTGAAGTCATTGTAAAAATAAACCTTTCCGTTTAGGCCAGAACTTGAACTTGATACGTAAACCAGGCTTGCCTCAACTCACAGAGATCCCCCTGTCTCTGCTTTCCCATCTTTCCTCTTTTTAAATTGACTTCTCTCAGAAATTTGTTCTAATAAAGAAAACCTAACATAGGTCTCTACCAGTCGCCAAAGTGCAGTGGCTGACAGCCCAGCTTGCATATCCTGGAGTACTTCCAAAGCCTGTGTCTATAGGAAACCCAAAATAGAAGCCTAAAGCTACTTCTAGGAAGCTGGAGTCCTGAGGTAGGACACAATTTCTGTCACAGTTCTGGTGGGAAAATCCCCCTCTGATGACCAACTACCACAAGCAATTCACATCTTTCCTTCCCCAAGGATAATGCCTGAGTCTAGCAGGCAGACAGTTTAATTAATCACAGAGAGATGTGGCAGCATGCAGATCTGGCTTGCAGGCTTAACATTCTTTAAGTAGCCATACTCTCCTTAGTTACAAAATCCCTGTCTTCACTTGTGACTGGAAACTTGTGAGGGAAAGCATGCTGCCCTCCCTGTGTGAGGCCTCCTTCCCTCCACCTGCTGGGTTTGGTCTGTACCTGTGCTCTGGACAGCTGTTCCAGAGAGATGCTGAGTTGGCTTCTGGATCGAACTGATGCTGCCCAGCTGCTCTCTTCCAGGGTAAGGGCTGAGAGGAAAGATGGAAATATAAGATCGGGTGCTCCTGGAAGGGATCTTCTTAGCCATTTGTTAGTGTGGCATGAAGAAGGCAGCTTTGTGCCAAGCAATTCGGTAGATCCTTAGACCAATTCTACCACAGGCTGATTTAGTGAGGAAGACAACACAAGCAGGAATGGCATTAGGGTCTCTGTCCCAGAGGGCTCATCATAGTCACCCAGACCTCACATGGACCTCCACTGTCCACCTTAGTTTGTTTATGCAGTGGCTCCAGAATCCCATTTCCTCAGCCATAAAATGGGAGTGAACTTCCAAGTTCCCAGGCTCGTGAAGTCACCAAACCCAAGCTGTAGGGGCTCTCCTGATGTTCTTTTGTTTGCTCTAGTTTTCAACTAAAAGTCCCTAGAAGGACCAGGCAGCCCTACAAAGGCAGTGTCCCTTGAGAACTGCAGACTCATCCTTCCATTGGTGCATGTGAGTCGGATGCCCCCTTGTCACATGGGAATTTCTGGGCAGGCTTTCAGCTGACTAAATGTGCAGTGGCATGGTTTTAATGTCATTTGTTCCCCAAGGCTCAAGGGTTCAACTGTTGAAAGTTCAGTCCTCTGGGAGGTGCTGTTAGGAGGTGGTTGGATTTTTAAGAAGGGGGACTTAGTGGAATATGACTAGGTCACTGGGGATGCCCTCCTTGGAAGGGATTAATTAGTTCCTAAGGGATCCCAGCTAGTTCTATGAGATAGAGAGTTGTTCTAAAAGGGCAAAACTGGCCCAGCCCCTAGCCACATCTTTCACTGAGTCTTTCTAACATGCATTCCTACAAAATCATCTGCTATGAGATAAAGAAGCTAGGGGTGGAAGTAGAGGGTCCAGCAGAACCAGCACCATGTTTTGTGGATGTTCAGTTTTCAAAATGCGAGCTACTTAAACCCCCTCCTCCTTTTCATATACCCAGCCTTGTTGATCATTTTTATAGCAACAGAAAACAGACTACTGCACATGATTTCCACTAAGCAAAGACTGTTCTAGACAGTAGACTAATAATGAATCAAGTGGCCCAGGGCTGCCTCAAAAACACACTCAGAGAGAAGCAAAGCAGAGTGTAGAATGTGACAAGAGATGACAATATGTGTGTGCTTACATCTCTAGAAACAGCTGGCACAAGGCTTCCAGGACAGCCAACCACCAGATCAGTGTCACCAAGCATGCCCCCAACACCAGGGAGACTACCCTTACCATGATGGTTGGACAACTGGATTGCAGCAGGAAATGTTGGTGCAGGTAGCCACCCATGAACCTTCTCAGGGTCAGTTTTGGATGTGGAGTCTGTGATGGGAGCAGAGGCAGACCAAAACAGCTCTTTCCAAGCAGGCAGGAGCCTTATTCTGTATCTGCTCACCTTTGCATCTGGTCCTGCTGCAAGTCCAACCCAATTTGACTAAAACCCACTAGGGCCAGGCTTGGACTTTCAAGGTATATGAGTCAGAGATGGGCCAGTCCTCTGGAAGGTTTATGGAGCATCAACCTTCCAAACTAGTGCACAGGGGGAGACACTGGCCAAGTCACCCAGGCTCAAGGGAAGGAAGCATTCCAACACCCAGGAAGGACTTGAGAGAGGTTTGGATAGTGTCTCTGGGCTTGTCTGGCCTGGGTTTCTGTAATTCACATGATATGGGCCACCCAAGGAACAATCTCTCAATTGCTCAAAATTCATTTACTGTTGGTCACAAAAGGACAAACGGTGTGTGAGTCAGTTGTTATATGAGGAACTTAGAGGAGTCATACTCACAGACAGAAAGTAGTTAGCAGGTACCAAGGGCAGAGTTAAGGTTAGGCTGGGTGGGAGGAAGTGCTGAGGGGAGGCAGTTTTCATGTGGGAAGATGACAACAGCAATGTGAATGTGCTCAGTGCCACTGCCATAGAAACAATAAAATAGAAAGCGTAAAATGGGTATGATAATACATTTTATGCTTCCTGTATTTTACCACAATTAAAAGTAGTGTTCTCTCTCTCTCTCTCTCTCTCTCTCTCTCTCTCTCTCTCTCTCTCTCTCTCTCCATCCCTCTCTCTCCTAGTCTCTCAAAATCTATTTACTGAAAACTTCCACACTCTGGCTTCAGGGCTGGGGATACAACTGGTGCACTGCTATTCTTGGGCATCTCTGTGCAGAAGGATGCAAGCATGTGCTCGCCGGGGTGGGCACACACAGAGAGGGGGAGGGCTGTCCTAAATGGAGCCATTGTAGGGGGGGGGAGCTCTGCTGGGCGGTCAGAAAAGGCTTCAAAGAAGAGATGAAAGGAAGGTAGCCAACATCTCTGTCCTCAGAAGCTCGGTGTAAACAACTTCTGTGAATGGCACTGGTGATAGGGTCCCCTCTGGGGCAATGCCTCAGGCTGCCCACCCTTCCCACTCTGACTCTAGCCTACATGCCTCGAATATCAAGCCACCAGCATGACCTGATTTTCCCCGCATGATCATGATTGGCCATTTCTGCCTACCTGTGAGGACCAGGAGGGATGGATCATGTCTGTGCTGTGAATACTGAGTTCTCAGCACCCACCCAAGACAGGCATACAGTAGATGCTGAAGAAACTACTCCAGTTAGACTGACAGGCTTGTCCATTTGCCCATGCCATTCCTTCCCTCTGTCTAACTGAAAACAATCCTATTGCTAATAAGGAGTCTCTCTCCCTCCCTCCCTCCCTCTCTCTCTCTCTCTCTCTCTCTCTCTCTCTGTCTCTCTCTCTCTCTCTCTCACACACACACACACACACACACACACACACCACTGTACCTATGCCTGACTTAGGCTTGAACCCATCCCGACCATCATAAAAAGGGGCAGGTTCCTGCCATCTCCCCTAGAGTTCAGGGCAAGTGCTGAAACACCCAGTGCAACTGAGCCCTGGTCCCCCCCAGCAGCTCCTCTATGGCCCACACCCCGGACTAATGCTCCCCCTTTCCTTACTCTCTCCTTCCCAGCCCCATTGTCATAAACCCCAAGTCACAGTTTCCTGTTGTGTTTCTTGAAGAACTAGCAGGTGGCCAAAGACTCAGATCAGTAGGATTTCCCACTTTGCCTAAAGGTTACCAGTAACCTCCTCTGAAGTGAATTGTTAGGGACTTCGGAAATTGGACATTAAAAATTTAGTGCAGAGGCAACACGATTTAGAGGGTTTGGTGGAGGCTCCTGTTGAGCTTCCTGCTGGAGGGCAGGCAGCCAAGCAATGCTGAAAAGCTCCTACATGGGAAGACACTTCCAGCCCCACTGTGCTCATGGCTGCCATGTTGTTGAGACATTTCTTAGGTGGTTACTATGATTTCAGTAAGTATCCTCCAGGGCCTGTCTGTAGTTAAAGGCTCAGGCCCCTGCTGTGGGTCTTTTGGGAAGGCTTGGCAAGAGGTTATCTTAGATGGTTTGTGTTACTGTGATAGAAACAATGTAGGGGGGAGGGGTTACAGTCACTCACAGTTTCAAGTCCCAGGCCTAGGCCGTCGGGGCAAAGGAGGGCACCATGGAAGCAGTGGCAGAGACTGCTCACCTCACACAGACAGGACATGGAGAGAGACAGACAATATGAGGGACAATAGGCTCCTAAGGACCTGTCCCTAGTGACCTACTTCTTCTAACTAAATTGCATCTCTTAAAGTTTCCAGCATTTCTCAAAATAGTGTCACCAGGCAGGAAGCAAGCTTTCAGTAAGGGAATTTTTGAAAGGCACTTCCTATCCAAACATTAACAGAGGTCTTTAGACGAATGAGGTAGTAGGTCCCCCAGTTTCTTCCCCTTGCTATCTTTTCTTTGCCACCCACCAGAAGTGAGTGGGCTTTACCACGCACTCCTGCGGTGATGTGCTGCCTCCCAACAGCTCCAAAATCAGTGGGGCCAGCTGGTTACAGACTGAAACTGTGAGTCCAAATTAGCCTTACATCTTTTTAAGTTTATTACCTGTGCTGTTTTTCTTACAGTAACAGAAAGCTAGCACAATGGCCTGGAATGGGTCATAGTTACTTCTGCATTTTCTATTTTTCTTTACATTTTAAATTACGTGTGTGTGTGTATGTGTGTGTGTGGGGGGGGGAGTTCATGTATGGGGACACACACATGCTGCAGTGTGTGTAAAGGTCAGAGGATAGCCTTCAGGAGTTGGTTTCCTCCTTCCACTATGAGGGTACCAGGAGCAGGACTTGCACTGTTAGGCACAGCAGCAAGCACCTCTGGCTGCCGTCTCTTCACAGTCCTGCTTCTGCCCGTAAACAATGAAATGCTATACAGTACTTTAAACCAAGGGGTGACTGGTAAGAGATGTCACAAATCTACTGACACTCACATATTAAAATGAGGCCCACTTCTAGTCCCCTTGAATTTGTATGAACCCAGGAGTGATGGCAGAAATGAGGACACGCTGTCTCTGGGATACATGTCACGACCCAAATTCTCAGAGCCCAGAGCAGCAGTGGAGACCCTTGGGGGAACCACTGCATGGAAAGGGGCCCCTGAGGTTGCACAGGGGCCAGAGGATGCCAGAATGAAGCATATCCAAGGGGGCACTGCTGAAACCACCATGATGCCCTCCATACAATGAACACTGCTGATGACCACCATGATGCCCTCCATACAATGAACACTGCTGAAACCACCACGGTGCGCTCCATACAATGAACACTGCTGATGACCACCATGATGTCTGTATACAGCGGCACTGCTGATGACCACCATGATGTCTGTATACAGCAGGCACTGCTGATGACCACCATGATGTCTGTATACAGCGGGCACTGCTGATGACCACCATGATGTCTGTATACAGTGGGCACTGCTGATGACCACCATGATGCCTGTACTCAGCAGGCACTGCTAATGACCACCACGGTACCCTCCATACCACACAAAACAAGAGTTTTGTCTCCTCTTCTAATCCACAAAGTTGTGAAGCAGAATAACAAGATGGCTTCTGGGCCACACCACTGTCCTTGGGGTGGTTTGTAATGGGGACTAGAATGAGTTTTGCTTTCTCATTACTGATTGATTCTGTACTACATAGTGAGATCCATTTGCATCAGCAGAATTGGAGCAATAATTCTCTAAGTATTACTTTAGGGTGTCTGTGTATATGCATGTATTTCAGCTCAAATGAATTATCCATTCTCTCCTGCTGAAGCAGATGTATAATTCATCTTCCCCCAAAAGCAGATCTTGCCACCCCGCCCCCTTTCCTCAGTACACAGCCTGGGAATCGGTGCTATTTATGTAACTTGCCTTGTAAGTGTAATCCAAGTTCTAGGTTATTTTTAAACGTATGGATCATTGTTTTACGATGAACACTGCATTTATGAGCTTACTGCTTTCACATTCGAATTTAAATGGCAAGCCATCATCCTGGAAAGTAGCATGTCAGGGTTACCAGTACAGTCTCCAGGATAAGCTGCTGGTATTAAGTCCTAGCACTTCAATTTCCCTTCCAGAAAACAGAAACAATAATAAAAACCAACTTCACAGAGTTGTGTGGGTTGGGGAACAAGTTCCAAGAGTGATGGTACCTGGCTTATGTTAGTCCAAAGGTGATTAGTGGCATTTGTTAATTTTACCTTCTTCAACTTCCCATTACCATCCAGCTCTTTCTCTACCAGAAGGTAAGAACAGAGGATATGGGAATAAGACCTGGTTCCATGGCCATCAGCTTAATTCACTGTAGTGGTCTACAGTCAATCTCTGGATCAAGTTCAAGGCAACCCAGAGAACACACGTTCCTTAGCTTTAAAAACCTCCTTTGAGTACTGATAGGCCCACTGCACCACACACCTGGAAGTCTCAGCTCTTCAGATACAGGTGGTTCCAGTGCACCCTGCACCTGGTAGTTTTGGCTCTGTAGAATGACAAAACCCACCTGCTTCTGATTCCTTCCATCCTGATCTCCTTGCCGCCTTGCACATTCTCCATGGATGTGCTCAGTCTGCCTCCTGTGGCATTCGGCAACCTGGGTACACACAGCTCGTTTTCTGAGCATGACAGTTTCCGAATCCATGTGAGAGGGCTGGTCTGTCCCTGGTGTGCAGAGTTCAAGTTGGCTATTTGTACAGACTTATCCTGATCTGAATTGGGGGATAAAAGACAGACATACACACAAGATTACATTGGGTTCAGTCATGGCTCTTGATAACAACCATACATTCCTGACCCTGACTTTCCTTTCCCAGTTAATTTTCTGCATGGAGAGACTTGACATTCTTCCTCCTGCTAACCTGGGGAGTCCTTGTGCCTATACCTGAAAAATGCAAGTCCTTCTAAGAGGTACTTGCTAATAAAAGACACTTCAGAAGCTTGAGAGGCAAAATGGTCCCTGTAGCTGCTAGAATGGCAGCCAGGAACCTGTTTTAACTGGTGCCATTCAAAGCTCCAGCAGCGCCACACCTCATTCTGCATTTACCCTCACAGATCTGTACTTGCAAACAGTCCTATAACAAAGCATGTGGGACCCAAAATCAGGCTCTTCCCTGTGGAATATAATCTTTAATCTCTACACTGCTCTGGCAGTATTAGTCCATGATGCATTCCTTTCCCCCTTCGTGTAAGGCTTAATAAATGCTTCCATTGACGAGACTATGATCATGAGGGTTGCTTCTTTGCTGTTTGTATTATTCATAGGAAATTGAGACTTTATTAAAAGATCTCTTAGGTTAACAAGGCCTTGCTCAAAACTGCATCTATTGGGCTGTTGTTACAGTTTTTATTTGTTCATTTTGTAGTTTTGGTGTTGAGATGGGGTTTCCTGTAGTGCCGGCTGGTGTGGAACTGTCTTTATAGCCAAGAAGGACTTTGAACTCCTGATACATCTGCCTCCACCTTCCAAGTGATGGGATTACAAGAATGAGCCACCACACCTAGATTTCATTTATATTTGGAGAAAGGAAAATGTTGACTGTCTTTGGGCCATCCACCTCCTCCCTACTGAAACCAGGAAGGAAGGATTATAACAGCATCAGCAAAATCAGTATCCATGGCCACCCTCATTTTTTTGTATATGTATAGTGTTCATTCATATATATATATGTATATGTATATATATATATATATATATATATGAATGAACACTATAAACATACACATGCAGATACCATATATGTATATACATATATGGTATCTGCATGCGCACGTGTGCAGAGGTGTAGATGGGATGTGCATCATATGAATGTCTTTCAGTTATCTTTGCATGCATATGGGGTGTGCATATGTGGCATGGCCATCAGAGGTAGAAGTATTTATATCTGTGATATGATGTGTGTAAATGCATGTGTGCACGCCCAGTAAAATGCCTCCTCCAGGAGAGAATGAGGAACATTTAAATACTTGAGCACATCCTCTCCTTTCTGTTGCCAGGGCTGTTCACCCTGAACAAGGCAGCCACCACAATGAATTACTTGTTGAGAATTTGGGAGTTTAAACAGACTGTGTTATCACTCCACACATTGAGTGAGCAAGACAGAGTGGGGCAATGAGTACTTGAACATGACCTGCAGCTTTTGCACAGATTTTATAGTCTTACTCCAGAGCTTGGGTCTGCCAGGAACAAGGTAATATCAATAGCTAGTTCCGACTAAATGTGTCCTATGAGACAGAATCCGTGACAAGCGTTGTCACTTCCCCTGTCTCACTCAGTCTTCACCGTAACTCTCTGGGGTGGATAGTGTAGCCATCTTACAGATAAGAAAATTTGAGAAGGGATATTTTCCTGCTGGTGCCAAGGCTGGTTAGTAGTAGAGAAGGTTTTACACTTAGTCCACTGGCTCCACAGTCCACACTGGATAGTGGGAGTGGTACAGACACTGAGCCACAGACAGCAGCACCAAAGATCCACGAAAGACCCCAGCCTTCTCATTACGAGTCCTGAAGGAACAGTGACCGACCTTGTACTTAACCACATCTGGAAGGGATTTTCTAGGCAGAGATGGTGGAGGCCAGTCTTAGCCTGGAGAGACTTAGTGGTTTCAAGCAAGACTGGATAGAGACTGGCATTCCAGGAAGTAGCTGTCCCCTAGAGAAAGGGACTCACAGAGAAGTAAAAACCCCACATGCCTGGTTCGTCGGGAGCTATGTTCCCAGGGAATGTTGGGGGTTGAGCAGGTCTTAGTGTCCAGGATAGAGGCCACATGTCGAGGTGAGGGATGGAGATCATAGAGGCTAATACTCAGCATGACAGACTCTGCACGAGCAGGGCACCAATGTCACAAGGCATGTTCCATGCAAAGGACAGAGACAAGGTAGCACAGTGATAGTGTCACCAGGAACAAGGGTACCAGTGTCAGCAGGCATCAACTCCATGGTGCTCTACTAGAACACCAATGGGTAGGCGGGAGAGCCAAGAGTGCTGGTCTCCCGGGATTAGAAACAAGGGTTGCTGAGAATGTCCCAAAGACACTGTTATGCTAAGAGGGAGGTGTCTGTCTGCTGGCTGTGGGTGACTCCACAATATAATTTTAATACCAGTAAAGTAGCTGACAAGTGTCTGGTTCTGTCTGGATGTTAAGGCTTAAGTCAAAGTTAGTTATAGCATCCCAAACACCCAAGAGGCATCCTGAGCCAAAGCCACCAGGAAAAAGTCACAGGGGGTAAGAGCCTGGGCAGCAGCAGAGCAATCCTCTAAGCATAGGTTCAGAGAAGGCCAGGCACATCCCACAGTCCAGGACACACCCACCAAAAGGATTGAGAAAAGGTTTGGGCCCACTGGGTAGTGATGACAGATCTTGCCTGATTCTATCCTGGAACTGCGCACTCGAGAGCTGGAGACTTTTTATTTATCCCCAGGGATCCAAATATAACTATGAAGTAAAGTGCCTGTTGAGACAATTCACAGAAGGATAGCTAAGAGACATCTGGAAAATGTTCAACTTTTCACCCATCAAAGAAGTAAAACAAAGCCACAGTGAGAGATCATTTTAACTGTCACATGAACACACAAAATACAGTGACATCTACTCTTTGAAAATAATGCAAAAAAAAAAAAAAAAAAAAAAAAAAGTCAGATGGCAAGAAGCTCCAACATTCCAGCATGACATTCAGAAATGCAGCGAGGCTTTAAAAATTCCCTGACTTGGTACCCAAAGTTATACTTCTGAGGTTAATCGGTGACATGGAAGCCAGAAAAATAGTTTTCTAATGATGTGTATCACAGTTGCATTTGCAATATTGAAATATATGTATCAAAAGGAAATGATTAACTAGTTTTATGTCCATACAAATCATCCATCCATCCATCAATCCATCCATCTACCCAAGAGACAGGTATTAGAGGCAGACTCTGTAGTACATGCCTATAGTCCAGCACCTGGAAGGCTAGGACTGGAAGAGCATGAGTTTAAGGCTACTCTAGGCTACACAGAAAGACTGTCTCTAAATTAATCAATTCATAAGTAAATAAATACATGTATATATCACTTCTTATTTGTCACACCTCTGTTCCACACTGGAGCTGGGAAGGCTGTGAGATACTGTCCCTACCTTCACAAAATTCCTTATCTATCACACCCAATGTCACAGGTGAAAGACAGAGGTCTGCAAAAGGAGGCAGTGATCCACTCCATCCAGGAAGGAATCCCCTGGGAAGAGCCAATCAGGAGAGGCTTCAAGATGGAGGTTACCTTTAACTTGCTCTAGGAGAAGCAGACTTACCTCGGTAGCCTGATCCCAGGAGGGTTATGAAAAGCATGGCAGTGGAGAACACTGTATTCTAATTACTTTTTCCTTTGCAATGACCAAAGCACCTTGGTGGAGGAAAGTTTTATAGCTCAAGGGGAAGCCTGTCATGGTGGGAAAGGCATGACAGTGGAATCATGGGGCTGCTAATTGTGTTGCATCCCCAAGAAAAACTCAGACAGCAATCAATGTGGATGCTCAGTTTTCTCTCTCCCGTTTTGTCCAGGACCACAGCCCACAGAAATAGTTCCATCTATAACTAAAGTGAATCTCTCCACTCAGCTAGTCCAGTCTAGATACTCCTTCATAGGTATGCCTGAGCCTTGTCACCTAGGCATTTCTAGATCCTGTCAAGCTGATGGTCAATATTAACCATCACAGCCACTGAGCAGCAAGACACAGAAGACTGGAATGTGGTTTCTGCAGCCATCATCATGGCATGCAGGACAGTTGGAAAGCAAAGAGAGGTATCAGGACAAGAAAGAAGTCAAGGCTGGGACTAGACTAGGAAGAGTCCCCTCAGAACTTTGGGGCTTGTCTCTGATGATGGTGTGGTACAGTGAACAAGCTTTAGCAGGGACTAGATCAGTCTATTTGAAAGTCCACTCGAAAAGCTGAGAAGCCAAAAGGATGCTGTCCCAGAAAGATGCCTATCTGAGAGCATGTGGTGAGGTGGAGGATAAGGAAGGAGGGTGTTAGCCTAGATTTCAGTTTCCTGGATGAGCGAAGGATGATCCCATTTGAACAAGGTAAAGATTGTGTCAAAGGGAAAGAGAAGAGTCTTACTGTGGAAATAAGTTTGGGGACCGATAGAGGTGGTCAGCTCTCCCTTCCATGTAGCATTGAAAGTGATGTCCAGGTTCTGGAGAGATGGTTCTGCTCAGTCCTGCAAGCACCGGGACTAACATATAAAAGACAAGCACAGAGACACATGTTTGTGACCCCAGTGCTGGGGAATGGGGGGAGACAGACAGATCCCTGGAGCTCCCTGGCCAGACAACCTTATCCAATCAGTAGCGCCAGGTAGTCAGTGGGAGATCCTGTCCCAATAACAAGATAGACAGCTCCTGAGGAAAGACATCTGAGCTTGTCCTGTGGCTTCCATATGTATGAATACATATCACACACACACTCACACACAATTTGTCACAGAGATTCTTAAAAGGCAAAGGGAAGTTGGTTATGTGGGTCTTTTTTAATGTAAATAAAATGTTAGAGTCCTGGAAACTACTAGGATGACAGAATTTGATGTTTAACAAAACAGTGTATTAGGAGTGAAATAGGCCTGGAAGGACCAATTTCACAAGTAAGCTCAAAATGTCTGTCTAAATATTTTATGGTCACTGAAATCAGGCAATAAAAACAGTATTGGTAGTGTTTCACACACAGTAATAGCAGAAAAGTCAGGTACAATTACTTTGCATTAATCTTCTCTAGATCCCCGGAAATGGGTTTGTTACATTACAGACCACAGGTTACTTTTAACCCCTGTGATTGGTCCTATTTCTGAAAATTTCAGTCCTGTTCTCCAGTTCATTCAGGCCATGGACTGACCCCTAAAGCTCAGTGTCAAGACCTCTGTGTAACTGTCTGGAACAGAGACAAAGCCCATATGTAGAAGCCACTGCCACCATTGTCACAGTACACTGAGCACTGGGCAGGGAGCTAGAAATGTGTCGTGCTGCCCCATTGGAGCACAGCACAGACTTCAGATGGTTAGTGTGTTCTCGTGATAACACCAAGACTCAGAGAGGGGCATGTGAGCCATGTAGCTGGTAAGTGACACTCAGCTGAGTCTCAGGGACTCTTCAGGTCACCTCCTTAGCCAAAGCTTCACTGCCTTGTCCTTGTGTTGAAATCACATAGGTTCTTTTGCACATGTGGATTCTGGTTCAATAGATGTGGGGCGGGTCCTGAGGCTCCACACCCTTAGCATCTCAGAGGTGTTCAGTACATCATTAGACCCAACCATCCCTTTTATAAACAGGAGAAGAAATCCACTTAGAGACCAAAGACAACACGGGAGGTTCAGCACTCAAAGCAAAGTCTCGACCACTGAAGCCTATGCTTGGTGAATGGTGAAAGGCAGACGCAGGGGAGTGTGCAGATAGGCTCTGAGTTCTGGAAGCTCCTCACCACCAAGCAGCTGGCCCATGGCTTCACTTCAAACCCTGGTTTGCCCCTTGAAGGGACACGGGTTCTAGCTTCACAGGCTGACTTAACTAGTACACTTTGAGAAAACAAACAATGTGTGTGCTGTGATCATAAATGAAATCTTTATGTGAGGGGCATGTTTTTCTTGCATGTATTTCTTCCACATGCATGTCTGGTGTCTCAAAGGTCAGAAGAGGGTCTGGAATGATTGTGTGTGTGCTGGGATCAAACCCTGGTCCTCTGAAGGATCAGTCAGTGCCCTTGACCACTGAATCATCTCTCCAATCCTCAAATGAGGTCCATTTTGAAGTGATTATCACAAGGAGGGGTGAGAAGAGCGGTCAGTGTCTGCATAGCACATGCTCAGCAAACACTAACTAGTGTGGTATGATGCATGGCCTTCTTTAAGGCACTAATCTCTTAATTACATCAGTAATGCATGCTCATTGGTAAAGTTTAATACTGAGAAATACTAAGAAAATAGCCATGCTTGCATACATAACTCCTTAAGGTAGTAAGATTTTGGTTTTGCTGGCGCCAGGGAAGACCCCAAGAGTCCACAAGGATGACTTCAGTTAATACTCCTAGTAATAGTGTATGGAATGCCAGAACTGGCCTTCTGTAATCAGATTGGTGATTACCCTAATGGTCATCAGAGAGCATTCGTTTAGTAACTGATAAAAGTAGATGCAGAGATCCATAGCCAAACACTGGGCCAAGATCAGGGAGTCCTGTTGAAGAGAGGGAAGAGGGATTGTAGGAGCCAGGGGGGTCATGATCATGCCAGAGGAACCCACAGAGACAGATGACCTGAGCTAGTGGGAGCTCACAGACTCTAGGCTGACAGCTAGGGACCTTGCAAGGGAATGACTCTCTGCATGCATGTGACAGTTGTGTAGCTTGGTCTGTTTGTGGGCTCCTGGCAGTGGTATCAGGACCTGTCCCTGGTGCTTGAGTTGGCTTTTGGGAACCTATTTCCCGTGCTGGGTTGCACACCCAGCCTTGATGCAGGGGGTGAGGGAGCTTGATCCCGCCTCAACTTTATGTACCATGCTCTGTTGACTCTCATGGGGGGCCTGCCCCTGAATGGAGGAGGAGTAGATAGGGGGTGATAGATGGGAGGGGGAGCAGGAGGAAGAGGAAACTATGGTCAGCAAGTAGAATAAGTAAAAAAAGAAAATTAGTTAAAAAAAGATTTTGGTTTTATTTCTGCATTAGTTCTTGTTTTATAACAATTGAATGTTAACCATATGAATATACTTAAACTGTCCACTTAAATTTAAGCATAAATCACTAAAACTTAAGAAAAATGACAGATTTAATTTCTAGGGTGCTCCTGCTACCATTTAACTGACTCAAAATTACACCTGGCGGTGCCTCACCCCCTACTGAAGGTGGAGATGTTCCATTACGAAAGTGCACTCAGGTCTCCTCTCTTGCCCTTCCTCGCTCAGCACTGTACCATGGACAGTTCCACTTGCTACCAAAGTCTACACTTAGGATAAATACCTGCAGTAAAATTGAGAGTTCAAAGGGATATAGACTGTTCAGCTTTTACAAAGTAGGATGGATGGACAGAGGGAGGGGCCGCAAAGGGAGAGGGAGGGAAAGGGAAGAAGGGGAGAGGGAGAGGTGGAGACAGAAGACAGAAAGTTGTATTCTGGAAAGACTGTATCCACTTTTCTTTCCAGTGTTACTTTCACTTTTGTTCAATCTAAGAATAAAATCTATACTTTGTTTTTACTGTGTTTCTGCCATTGTTGGTGACTTTTCAGCTATTTTGGGGGGGTCAACTACATTTTTTCATACATATTATTCTATGAGCAAGCAAGCCTGTCTGCTTGTGTGTTGCTAGTACAGTATATACTTACCACTCAAAAGATGAGCACCCATCTGTGCATTAAACCAGTGCTGGGCAGAGCAGAGGCCCAGCAAATATTTGCAGGTCTTGGCTGAATCAGTGACAAAGGTGTACTTTTTTCCAGTGATGCTGCTGGTGATGGTGAACTTCTTTCTCTGGAGGAATCAAGCACAGCCTTAGAACCCTGATTATCCTCACTCCTCCCTTGAAGCACATGTATGTAAACAGCCATAAAAGACTAGCCCCTCAATTCAACTATCAACACAGTTCCGGAAGTGCAGGCTGACAAAGGCCCAATTTCTTTTCTTAGACAATGGCTAAACAAAACCCTTCTGTTTATTTGTTTTCTCCTTCGCCTGTGATCCAAATGCTTATCGTATAATTGCTATTGTCAAGGAGTGTGCTGGGTGGAAAGAATGTGAGATGAGTCAGTGGACAGTTGGTCTTCACAAGTACTTTACGAAATGGCCAGCAAGCATCCCCACTGTTTTTACTGTACAAGCTCCAAGCTTCTTGCTCTGATGAGACAGGGAGCCCACAGAAAACAAGCAGGCAGCTGCACTGTAATAAGCAGGCGGATAAACTGAGCTGTAGTCAGAAGCAGCCACCACCAAGGCATCAAGGAAACTGATGGGGAACTGACCCGCATCCTCATTATGCCTCATTATGCTACATTAGCATAGTGAAAGCTTCCCAAGGGAGAGATAGAACAAAAATACAGCAGTGTTTGGAGCAGTGTGCAAAGTGGCACATGCATACGGGAAGCCTCCTCCCTTATCTGGGCAAAGCATGAAAGCAGAAACCCTTCTCCACATATTGCAACCCAGATCTTTGTTTCTGGTTCCTCTGCCTATGAGACATCCTGATTCTTTTCTGTAACACACTTTCACTTGTTTTAAATTCTCTCATAGCCAAGACAAAAGGCCCCACAAAAGGTGCATGGGTTAGAATTCTGCTAAGAATTTTATGAGCATTTATATGTCTTGTCTTCATGGGCTCATTATTCTTTGCCCTAAACATGATCTAGGAATCCTGCCATCTAGAATCAAATTTAGAATCCTCAGGCTCTGCACCATGGGTGTGGTGGCACACTCCTTTAATCCCAGCACTCAAGAGGCAGAGACAGAGGCAGGTGGGTCTCCCTCCACTCCAACTGGGCTACATAATGAGACCTTGTCTCAATCAATCACTCAAGCAGTAAAATAAATAAAAATAAAAGCTGATAACTATTCTCAGACAAATCTGAAAAGGGGGAAACAGAGAGAGAGAGAGAGAGAAAGAGAGAGAGAGAGAGAGATTCTTTCAATGTATAAACTATTAACAGAACTCTCCCATTGGAAGCCAGCACTCCAAGAGTATGGTGGTTTGAAAGAAAAATGCCCCAGAGTCTTGTGTATTTGAACACTTGGTCTCCCCATCGGTAGTGCTGTTTGGGGTGTTTATGGAACCTTTAGAAGGTGAAGCCTTACTGAAGAAAGTACATCACTGGGGATGAGTTTCATAGCTTTACCCCCATTTCCTGTCCACTCTCAGTGGCTCCCTACATGTGTCACTATGCCATGTTCTCCTTGACGTTATAGATGGTCCCTCTGGAACCTCTAAGCCAAAATAAACTTTTAACTTTATAAATTGCTTTTGGCTGTGGTGTTGTTATATCACAGCACCAAAATGGAACTAATCCGAAAGGATTTGAGAGGAAGTGAAATGCCCACTGTTTCTGGGCATGGGTCTAATGATGGTCTTGATGGTAGTGGATTGGAGTGTATGTCTGTTTATCACCACTTAATAGAATTCATATCCACAGCAAACTTGCCTCAGGGCAAGCTGCTCCTTGAATAAGGATACAATAAGGGTATTGAACCCTAACCTCAGGGTTTTTAGCACAAACCTGGACATTTTTTCTTAGCCTCCTATTGTTGCAGGTCCTTCCACAGTGCTACATTTGTTTCTTAGCATCACTTTCCCATTCTGGAACAGTTTATACCCAGAAGTTAGTTCCATTGCTATTGTTGCTTTGTTCACAGCCCATTTGCTCCCACACCTGTTTCTTTTCCTATGTCTTTGCAATTACATCCCTGCAGACACGGGCATATTTGCCCATGAACAGAGCCCATGAAGCTGAAGCTCCAGCACCCTCGCCTGATCACGCACTTCCCTGGAGCTTCCTTGCCTGATCACGCACTTCCCTGGAGCTTCCTTGCCTGATCACGCACTTCCCTGGAGCAGTGCTGGCTATGGGTACACATGTCCTGGTAATATTGGAAAGCAGCATGCTTTCACCGTAGTTGGCTAAGACCATTGATCCTCCTTTCTCCCTCTGCTCTAGTCAGGATCATAAACACCCATCAAAGGGGCAAGTGTTAAGTTAGGTCACCAGGGCATGCCCTTGATGGTGGTACCGAATTATTTGCTCTCTGGCCACGCCATGTAAGTGTCCACCCAGCTCTCTGCCTCACCACTAGCTCAAAGCAGCCCAATAAGCAGCCATATGTGACTGTGAGCAGCATAAATCTTCTGCATCTCAGACATTCATTGTAAGTCGAAAGAGGAGAAAACCATACTCCTTCCTTCCTCGACCATCCCACTGGGTAGTATTGGGTGAATTGAGAGTAGATCCATCTAAGGAAAAACCAAAATGAAATGACTGGAAGCAGCTTTAGATTTGCTAGCCTCTGTTTCTACGCATATTAGAGTTATCTTTTACAATGCACTCCCCTTGGACAAAACCACACAGGTCAAAATAAATAAATAAATAAATAAATAAATAAATAAATAAATAAATAAATACCACACAGGTCTCGGCATGAGGACCAGCAGCCACTTGGAACTAACCATGTGCTGTAATACTGAGTACCTAGGAGGCTGCAGAAATGTACAGAGCTTCTGGCTGCTCTGAGGCAAATTTTCACAGTCACCATAAATTAAAAACTAGAATTTAGTTCTCAAAAAGACCCCATCACAACGAATTTATTTTAATAAGACACAAATAAGATGGGGTTTGTTAGATTGCTTTGGGACTAGCCTACCCTGTGTTTGGCCTTAGTGGCATCTCCAGGACTCCACCACCACCCCCAACACCCACATAATCCCTGCATTTGCAGCACAGATACTTGTGGCAACCCACAATGAGCAAGTGTTTTTCTGTGCAAACTGCATGCTTTAACTAGCCTACCTGGGCCATACTAAAAGATACGTTAAACTGTCTTTTTATTCCCTCTAGATAAAATGACGGTATGAAATGCTGTCATATAAAAAACAAGAAAAGGATACATCACCCTAAATTTGAAAAGAGAGAGCATTATAGGCTTTGCCAGGAAGTTAATCAATGGAGTGTTTTTCTGGCATTGGCACTATTTAAAAAGGATGTCCTGTTTTTTTTGTTTTTTTTTTTTTTTTTTTTTTTTTTTTTTTAATCTTCAACTTTGGGGATTCCTTTTCTTATTCTAAGCAACATTCCCTTTCATGATGTAGCTGCTATTTGTAATTTTGTATCTTTTGCTTAAAGAGAGCCATGTATAGTCCTGTATAATCTGTTCTGCTCCATGCCTTTATCTCCAGAGATTAGAATTAATGCTTGAAAACACTACAGTTACCAGTACCATTAGGGTCCTTGTTCTAGAAGGAATTTTTTTTTATTGATAGTCAAGTATACATAGATGCCAAGGCATCCAGGGATTACATTCTTTGAAAACAGCATCCTTGCCAACCTTTAATCCCCAACATTTGGAGGCAGAAGCAAGAGAATCTCTATGAGTTCGAGGCCAGCCTGATCTACAAAGGGAGTTCCAAGACAGCCAGGACTGTTACACAGAGAAATCCTGTCTCAAGATCTCCCCAGCAAATTGGGAGCATGGGAGAGCGGGAGTTAGGAGAAAGAGAAGGGAGGAAGAGGAGGGGAGAGGAGGGCTTGAGGGAACAAGAAAATTGAGTCAGGGGTAGAATAGAGGAGAATAAGAAAAGAGACACCATAATAGAGGGAGCCATTATAGGTTTAAAGAGAAATCTGGCACTAGGGAAATGTCCAGAGATGTACAAGGATGAACTCAACTAACAATCTAAGCAATAGTGGAGAGGCTACCTTAAATGCCCTTCCCCGATAATGATATTGATGACTATCTGATATGCCATCTGAGAGCCTTCATCCAGTAGCTGATGGAAACAGAAGCAGACACCCCCAGCTAAACACTGAGCTGAACTCCTAGAATCCAGTTGCAGAGAGGGAAGAGTGATGAGCAGAAGGGTCAAAACCAGGCTGGAGAAACCCATAGAAGCTGCTGACCTGAACAAGGGGGAGCTCATGGACTCCAGTCTGATAGCTGGGAAACCAGCAAAGGACTGACCAAGACCCCCTGAATGTGGTATTAGTTGGGAGGACTGGGCAGTCTTCGGGGCCTCTAATAATGGATCAGTATTTATCCCTAATATATGAATGGACATTGGGAGCCCATTCCACATAAAGGGATACTCTCTCAGCCTAGACACATAGGGGAAGGCCTAGGACCTACTCTAAAAGATATGACAGACTTTGAAGACTCCTCATGGAAGGCCTCACCCTCTCTGGGGAGCAGAAAGAGAATGGGATGGGGGTTGGGGCAGGGGGACAGAGGAAGAGGGGCAGGTGAGGGAACTGGGATTGACATGTAAAAGAAGCTTGTTTCAAATTTAAATAAAAAATATTATCATAAAAAAGAAACCCCATCTCAAAAGGAAGGAAGGAAGGAAGGAAGGAAGGAAGGAAGGAAGGAAGGAAGGAAGGAAGGAAGAGAAAACAGTATCCTCATTGATTGCCTGGCTACTCCTGCAGGGTCAAAGAATAATGAGGTGTGGCTGAGCATCTTGGCAAAACTGAAGCTAGCCTCCTGAACCAATCTCAGATCACTCCACGCACACCCACTATTTGCAGAAGCATGTAGAGCCATTTCCTGTGGAAGATGCTTAACTGGACAGAAGCAGCTGGTGAAATTACTGCACAGGACAATATTCCAGCAAAATATTCATGCCCAGGAGGAAGTTGATCACCAGGGTACAGAAAACATAATTAAACAGTTGCTTTGAGTTCATGAACTTGATGACTTCCCAGATTTAATTTTTTAAAAAGAATTTGGTCTAGTAATGAAAAAACAAATATCCATAAAATTAAATATATAGCTATGAGGGGTGTGTGTGTGTGTGTGTGTGTGTGTGTGTGTGTGTGTGTGTGTGTGTGTCTGTAAATAAACTTAAGGGGACTGTTGAATTTTATGGTCTCAAATTTTTTCCATGTTTTAAAATTACTACTTAGAGAATCTGCATTTAGACAAATCACATTGAAATCTTTGATTAGTTAAACATGTAGTGAAGAGACTAAGACATAATGTAATAGTGTTGCATTTCAAATATAATTTGAATTCTTTAAATATCATTCAATTAAATTAAAATTCTGAAACTTTATGAATTCTATTATATATGTATAATGCATATATGTGTGTGTATGTGTGTTTCTATTATATACATACATTGACAATGTTAATTTCAAAAATCAAAATGAAAGATCACAAAAGGTATTCAGAAATTGAATAAAAGCAACTATGTTTTACCTAGGAAATGATAATATCAGATAATAAAAATAATGATCTAACTAGGAGAAAAATTTAAACAATAGGAGAAAAGTAAACAGAATAAAAACTAAAAAGTGTATGAGCCAAGAGGCAAAGAGCTTTTTTTTTTTTAAGAGGAGACCTTCAGTCAAACACAAATACTGACCTGCACGGCCCTGTGATAGGCAGGGACAGTCAGCTACCAGGTCCCAGTGCCAAGTTGATAGAAACTAAATTGGGGAACTGAACAGTTAAAAGGGCATTTTAACATGATTTAAAATGTACAGCTGCTGGAAGTTTTACATATTTAAATTGTTCAGTGGCCATCTGACACTCTGTCTGCCAGGGTACCCGCAGTTCACCCAAGGCACACCAGACACCTGTGTGTGCAGAGAAGACGAGACCCTTAGGGCGGATGTTTCCAAACCTTGCGGACTCCACTCAACCTCCACTCCATTCTCTTCCTTTGGATCCTACTTTTCCTTGCTTTGGCCACAGATGGGCTCCTCGTGTTAAGGAGAATGCATGGAAGGAAATGCAGCACTTTAGGCTACAGGCTGTTAATGGAGGCTTGTGAGCAAGCTGGCAAGAGAGCATGAATAAAGAGGGACTTCCTGGGGATCACCAGACCCCACCCCTGAAGTATTTGGCCTATTTGGTCTTCCCAAATATGTCAGTGCACCAGAATGCAGGCTAACTGATGGCAGTCTGTATGTGAATATGTCAAGGGGATTCACAAAGCTGCTTACCCCTCAAAGGGGCTGCAGATCAAAGGAAAGGAAGGCATGGGCAGCTAGCAAACCGAGCTTCACTCACATGAGTTGAGATCATCCCAGTTTCTCTCCATGGAAACTCTGATGTTGTGATCCTGCGGCTGCTTTTCACCTCATAGACTAGGATACCTTTGGCACAGACCCCCAAAGCCATTTCCCCTTCTGGTCTCTTCTTCTCTGGAAAAATCTGGTGAACTAGAACTCCATATTCTGGGAGTTGCTGAACAACCTGGAGGGAGGAAGAGACCAACTTAGGACCCATGAGTTGGCTGGTTCAAAGTCATGACCCTCAACCCCTTCTGTGGAAAAGTCCATTGTTGACAAAGCAAGAAGGAAAAACATCCAGCTAGACATTTTTTCTCACTCTGGAATATATCTAAACCTTTGATGTGATGGAATTTTTCTTTCTTTTTTTAACCTAAAGAATCCTTTATTTGTAGAATACCTAAAGGAAAACAAACAAACAAAAAGCATTGGTGACACATTCTTCTAAATACAGGACACTAGGATAAAAAGATGGTGAACAAGTATTTCTTATGATTCAGAATCTCTTGGGACACCTCAAGGTTAGGGGCTCCCCTCTCCAATTGTGTCACTCATCTGGTCCCATCTTTTCATGTTCCAGTTGCAAAAGCTGAGGCATGGGCACTTCAGGTCATTATCAAGGCTATCAAAGCAGGCTGAGCCAAGAGCAATTGCAGGGAAAATGCCTGTCACTCCAGCATGCCTTTCCACTTGGCAATACATCTGTAGGATCCCCACAGCCCCAGCTCTTGCCTCAGTTTACAAAGCTAAGGGATTGAATTTTATAAAAAGTCCCAGGGTTAATCAGGCCAATTGATTTCTCAAGAGAATTTCAGATGTGAATTCAACACAAATGTTTTATTGTCTAAACAGCCATCACATGGCCAGGACATTCAGGTTGCTGCACATAGATCTGCATTCCTGCTCCTGACCTCTGAGAGCCTCTGAGACAGGCTTCACTGGGGAGATCCGGTGCCGCATCTCCATCCTCAGAAGACTGCCATGTCCTATCTGTATGATCTTCCCCATTCCCAGGCATTGACAGAGACCAATTCAAAATTATTCTCAAGCTCACTGCTGACCTCTCTCCTGCTGCTGATGATTATTGATCCTGCAAATACCCTGGCTCTCTGTGAGATCAGGATTAAATGTCTGGATGTTAAGCCTCCTGCTTTCAGCTTGAAAGAGACACTATCATCACTGTCATCATCGTTGTTACCATCATCATCACCATCATCACTACTGTCATCCAATAAAAACACTGGGCACTTGTATTGAAATACCCATGGCCAAGCCAGATATTGATTAAAGTATGACAAGGAGAGGCAGCCCAAGACAATGTGGGGCATTGTTAAGGAATTTGATGAACATTGTTTTAAAGCACAGAAATAGTCACTGGGAAAATAAAGATGCCTTTTTTCTAGACTTGCTTTTTCTCCTAAGCCTTTTTTTTTTTAAACTATTTAGCATCAACTTTTCATTTTTGTTTGTTTATTATTCTGAAAAGATAGTGGCACTTGAGTACTGATAACACCTGCTGCCAAGTACAGCCAGGTTTTGTTACATTATTGTTGAGTTTTCATAACGATCATAAGACAAAGGTGTAGCTGTCTTTTTCCAAAGGAGAAAATGGAGGCACAAAGGGAGGGCAGGCAGAAGAGCTAAGTAATTATGTCAGTAACTCAGGTCACTTAAACTTTTTTTTTTTTGTCTCTGCAAGTCAAGAGATCAAGTTCTTCAAATTCATCAACTGAAAATAAACTTTTGTTTTGTTTTTCACAAGATCAAACATTTTAATGAGCATGTGTTTCTTCTTCTGTTCTTATGATCGAAGGAAGTCACAAAGAAACTAACTTTTGATGCTAGAAAGATGGCTTAGACCTGAGCTCCATGCCCAGCACCTGTGTAGAAAGCCGGTGGGTGCTTGTGATCCAAGCACTAGGGATTAAGAGGTAGGAGGATCACTACCCAGCTTGCCTTGCCTAATCGGAAAGCCCAGGCCATAGTGAGAGGCCCTGACTCAAAAACAACCTAACACCCACCACACAAAGAAGACAGCTACTGACATCCCAGGAATTCCATCCTTTCCTGTTCTTATATCTATAATTGCTTTCACAAAGCATAGAACCAGTAACCATGGAACATGAAAGAGCTTCATGCTCCCTGTCATCACTTGCCAGGTGACAAGTCTTGTTTGGCCACACAACCAAGCATCATTAGAACCATGCTCAGGTGAGGGGTATAAACGTTTGGATGGCATAGCTATTCTCCATTAAGCAGCTATGTGTTATTTGGACATTATCAGGGGCTGTTCTGCCCAGACTACTTCATTGCCTCTTTTGAAGTTCAGCCTGGGTCCACATTCACACAGATTTGCCAGCTGTGGCTAAGGACATCCAGCCTCACTTTGTTTTTCCAATATGCTCAGGTTACCCATGTGAAGCCAACTCTGTTTTCTGTCACTCTTGATGTAAATGCCTAAAATATCAAGCCCTGTTAGAACAAATATAACACAAGGTACAGGGCCATGGAAGCAATTTGTGGCGATACATTGGAGTCTATGTGGCTATACTTATGTGGTTCCATTTGGAAATAATAGTTCCAATTTATTTTTACTACATATATCAGAACAGTTTTCTGTTATTGGATATGATGTTCAAACTTTTGGTTTAAAAATCAGAAATTAATTCTCCTGTACCTGAGAGACAAATCATTGAATTGATGCAAGTAACCTGCCTAGATTCCTTGGAGGCAGGAATGGGAATCTCAATAGAGGAGTCTTTTTTGATCCCAAGAATTCCCTCTCAACAACTAAACTTCAGAGCATTCCTGAAGACTGGGAACATAGATAAAAAGGCGTAATGTCTTCTGGGGCATCTTCATTCTGTTCAAAGTAAAATAATATCATCTGTCCCCTGCCTTCCATGGTGCCCTTCCACCCCATCGTGGTTCCCTGTTCTCCCAGCAGCAGAGAGCAAAGTGAAAAAGGAACCAAGCACCCCTGACTGTCCCTTGCTGTACTGCAGGTCACAAATGGATTGTTATTCCAAATTCACAGCAATGTGTGCTTCGGCCCTACAATTCCACTTCTGAGAACGTACTCCAGGAAAACGTGCTGCATAATCACACAAGCATTTCTCTTAACTCTGTTCCTAATTTGGTGCAGACTTGCAGGGATGGGTTAAGGGAGCCTACCTCCCAGGTAGTGAAAGACAAAATGCTCGCAACACCCAGGGAATGCATTCATTAATGCCAAGGAGAGAAAGAAAATACAGAATTTAGCCAATATGATTCCAACAGTCAACTGAGATTGTTTTCATATCGCATCACAATACCTAGTTGAGTGGGAGCAGGTCATATATTGAGGACATCTGGAAAGCAGTGAGCTGACCTTGAATAGGCTGATCAGGGATTCACACACTTACACAGCTGTGAATCTCCAAGACCAAAGGTGGTGTTCAGTGGTACCCACACTGGAATGCTGCCAAGTCTGCTGCCGGTGGGAGGAAATGAATTGGCAGAGTACAGCATCCGTCAACCAAGCCAGCAGGCAGCCACCTGGGAATGATTTCCTCTTTTTTTTTTTTTGAAAAGGGCAAGCCTAAAGGAGCTATAATTAAATATCCAGTGATTATTTGTGGTATAGTGGCTTTGCAGTGGGCTCTGTGAATCCAGGGCACTGCTGGTATTAGCATCCTGGTTAGAGGGACAAGGAATATCCAGAGATAAGTGGGATATACGATGCCTTAACAATATGTAGCATCAGTGGTTAAACTGAGCACTGCCACCGTCTGTGTGACTTTACTCATGAGATTCTTGCCCTAATAAATGAAACAGAAATACAGTCAGTGATGGATATAGAAGAATACTGAATTCAGTATTACAGATTGGGACTAATTAATGCAAAGAATACATTGCTTAAGAGGAGTGTGTATTGATTGAAAGTAAGTTTTCAGATGTTTTTGTAATGCAGGGTTATATGAATACATAGAAGTATTTATGTAATATGTGCCCACTTGTAAATGTATATGCATTTATGCATATATAGATTCATATAAAAGGGTGAATATGTCAAAATGGCATTGTGCTCATGGTAGGGAAATGTTTTCTTTTGTATCTGGGAAGGGAAAGACTTCAAGAACTTACACAGTGATATGGATGCTCTCAGAGAGCTCTGGGGTGCAGAGTTCATTCTGCCTTCAGCTCTCTGTACCAAGAACAGGCAGCCTACAGCACTAGTCATGTGTGAAGGCTGCCAAAGGGAAGGGTAGGAGGCAGAGTATGTCTCAACATGAATGAACATGGCATGCAAATGAAACAAAATCTGCCCGATGATTTTTGTGAAAGACAGGAAGAAAAAAAATAGTCTCCTGCCTTTTGCTTCTAAGACGGTAGCTATTTTTATAGTCACTGTCTCATGGTTCTACCAGCGGAAGGAGGAACATGGTAGAGCCCAGCACATAAAGCTGGACTTGGGACAGGCTGCAGGCAGCATGTATCCGCAGTAGTGGTCTGCAGGGTGACGTTCTTGGTCTCAACTAAGCTCTCTAGTCCTGTGGCATTCATCATTCGATAGCCTTGACTTTTCCTCATGCCCCTCATCAAGGGGATGTTCTTAGCAGGGAACATGTGTGAGATGGAACTACAGAATTCAGTACATGTTTCTAGTGAGACTTAGACAATGAAATGGTCACAGGATGCCTCCATGCTAGGTGATGGGATCATTTTCCTGGGTGACTGGCCAAAAAAAGAAAAGGCAAAACCTCGATTTTCCATTTCTTCTCTGAAGCACTTGTCGGCTTAAAGGCAAAAACAAACAAGCAAGCACATGGACAGAATATTTTGACTCAAGTTAGAAAACTTAGTTACAGAGAAATGTGCACATCCCGCCGTGTCTTTTAGAAACTGTTCCCCAAGTCTGAAGGTCCAGGCACACAGACCTTTTCTGGAAGATCCTCCCATCCCCACACACGCTGCTCATGCACCTGCAAAAAAAAAGAAGCTACTCTTGCCTCCTCCCTCCAGCCACTGGCATTGGTCCTGTGCTCTCTGAGCATCCAGCACAGTGTGCCCACATGTAGACAAGCAGTTGTCATTCTGAGACCTAAAATCCACCAGAGATAGGGAACACATGCTCCTTATCTATATTCCCCATGGTAACTGGCTGACAGTGATGGGAGGTAATGGAGCCAGCAAAATATTCTTCACTGCCAGTACTCTCAGTGCAGGAGACTGAAGTGCTGCTACTTTGAGGTGAGGAGAGAGGTCAGAATGGAAGGGAGCTGCACCCCACACAGCTGTGCTGACAGCCACTCAGAAGGCTGCACACGAGGAGTCTCCTGATAGCTCTGTCCAGCTTGTAACCTAGTTCTCTACCTTGGTATTATCTATGAGACCTCCTTGCCCACAGGAAAGTATCACAGATGTCTCTCTAAGGTCAAAGCAGCAAGGCTCTGTGACACCCAGCCTAGCCCGATAGAGCTTATCCCTTTGAAGGGTCATTTCTAATGCCACTATTACCAGAAGCCACTCCATGTTGCTCAGGGTGATAAAGATTCTTCCTTTTGTGGGTTCAGATTATACTTCCTTGCAAATTTAATCCCTTTTGGTCCCTAGTTGTGGCTGCAGAGAGAACCACTGGCTACATTTCCCGGACCCTGACATCTCTTTTGGGACCCCAGAGGCCTCACCTCTAAGAACTCCAGCTCTGCATCTTCTCCCCAGGGCCCAGAACTGAGCCGGTGCATCTCGGAGATTTCTACTTGGACCCGGATTGCTGTCATCCGCTCAATAAGCCTTGCTGGGATGTAATCTTGAATTCGGAAATATGCTTTTCTCTCCACCTGCTAGGAATAGCAAGTAGAGGAAAGGGCTTACCCAGGAAAACTTCCAGACAGCTCTGAACAGAAGAGAAATGTGACTGAGCGATGGTGACACGGCCTTTAATCCCAGCACTCTGGAGGCAAAAGGCAGGCAGATCTCTGTGAGTTTGAGGCCAGCCTTGTGTACAGAATGAGTTCTGGGACAGACTCCAAAGCTACACAAAGAAGCCCTGTCTCAGAGGGGAGAGAGAGAAAAAAAAAAAAAAAAGAGGGGGAGGGAGGGAGAGAAGGAGATAAGGAGGAAGGGAGGGAGGGAGGTACGGAGGGAGGGAGGGAGGCAGGGAGAAGTGGAATCATACTCCTAATGGGCCCCAGGATAAGAACACTCCTCTCTGGGACACAGTGTTGTGTTCTGTGTTAGAAGTGGAGCAAAACAAGGAAGTCTCAGATATGACATCATCCCTATACAGGACCATGCCTGAGAAGATCAGATTCCTCTTCCCCACCCAGACCTCAACCTTCAGCAGCTCTGCTGCTTAGGAAGCTGAGGCTACAGCCCCTCAGGAGAAGATGGAAGATCAGTGTCACCTCGTACTTGGTTCCCTCAACACAGACTTTGAGACAAACAGAAGTATGGTGAAGCTCATGAAGGTACAATCTCCATGTCCACTGCATAAAACAATGAGGAGGGCAGGATGGGGTAGGGGGGAACTTACCCTACATCTATATTTCTGATTCTGATCTTGAGGCACCCTGCCAGCCTACCCTGTCATGGGATAATGTTTTTGTACACTGTAAACATGTGTCTCTGCCTAAGGGGCCTTCTGATTGGTTTAATAAAAAGCTAAACAGCCAATAACTAAGCAGAAGAGGATAGTTAGGACCTCCCAGCAGAGAGAGAAACTGGGAGGAGGAATCCAGATAGGTGGATTTCTGAGTAGACTCAGAGCAAGTCGGATATGCCGTACTGAGAAAAAGTAAAGAGCAATGTGGCAGAATGTAGATTTAAAAATATGGACTAATTAAGTTATAAGAGCTAGTTGAAAACAAGCCTAAGCTAAAGGCCAAGCTTTCATAATTAACAATAAGTCTCCATGTCATTATTTGCGGCTGGTGCTCCCAATGAGAAACAACTACTACACTGTGCTACCCTTGGGCAAATCATTGTCCCCCAGCTATGATGGAAGTGATCCTGATGAAGGCAGCTGAAGGCTGGGTGACTCTGATCTCTGCTCAGAGGGTAAGTGAGTCTGTCTGATGAGGTTCAGAAGGGCACACCACTGTGCCCAAAACACTCCACATTCATGCTGTGGCATAGGCCTACCCACACATCATCATAGAATGAGAATCCCAGAATTCTCCAGGTGAACCAAGCTGAGTCAGGGTTCAAATCAGAGGCACACAGAGAAAAAACTTCTCAGCAATCTAGTGCATTTTTTAAAAATGTTAAAATAAATTTAAAAATTTTTTAGGTTGGCCAAAATACAGAACACTGACATCACCAAGTATTATGGAGAAAACAGAAGCAAATGGGACCTTGCATTCATTGTGGGTGGGAATGGAAAACGGTACAGCCACTTTGGGAGATAGCAGGTCAATTTCTTACTTAAACAGACTCTAACTGAGGACCTGGCAATCAACCCCAAAGACTTGAAGACCCGTGTCCATGGAGCCGGGAATGTAGTTCAGGGGAAGAGTGCTTGCCTAGCATTCCCTAGCATGTAGGAGGCCCTGGGTGAGATGCACAGTACTGAAAATAAACAAATGGCTGCACATGGTTGTTAATAGCAGCTTAATTCATAACTGCCAAAACTTGGAAGCAAAAGCTGTCCAGGGAATGAGTAGGGGAAAAAAAAAAAACAGTGCATCTGGGCAATGGCATGCCAGTCAGCACTAAAACAAAGAGAGCCACCAAGAAAAACACATGGAGGTGATTAAATGTGTGCTGCTAAGTGACATAAACCTATATGAAAGGTTGTATGTTGTCTCCAAATATGAGATCTCCTGCCACAGATATGGTAAAAAGATAAGTGGGTGCCAGGGGACAGACAGGCAGATCACTAATAAAGGGAGCCCTGGTGATTTCTAGAGCAATGAGACCACTCTGCATGACACTATAATAGTGATTCATGTCGTTATATATTTGTCAAAAATATACGACACCAAGAGTGAACCCCTGTGCTAACCAAATACTCTGGTGACAACAATCTGTCAGCATCAGTCATCAATTGTAACAAATGTGCCTTCTGGTATAGATTATACTGCTCACTAGGGGGGGACTATGAGATGACAGGAGTCATTGATACAGCAAATCTCTCTACCTTCTACCTGTCATTCAGCTTTGCTATGAACCTAAACAACATTCTGTTACAGTTAGGATCTTAAATCCCTCAAAGGGATTGGAGAACCCTTGGGAAGTGGGATCCAGCAGAAGGGAGTGAGATCCTTCAATTTTTGCTTTAGGTTGCTTCTGGGACCTTAGCCCCTTCCCTTCTTTCTGCAGTTCTGCTTCCTGGCTCCCATAATCCAAAATGAGTTTTGCTCTGCCCTATTCCTGATGTTTGCTGCCTCAACTAGGCTTACCTAAAGTGAAGGAGCCTGCAAACATGGGTCAGAGCCTGTGAAGCCAAAACAAAGCTTCCCTTCTTTAAGTGGGTTATCCTGGGTAGTCTGTCACAGTGACAGGAAATTGACTACTGGGAGTCCTGAATAGTAAAGTTTATTGAAACATTTAGGGAGCAAAAGGGCATATAGGGTCTTTATCCCAGCATTTCTTGCTAAGAACATACCCAAGTGAAGGAGCTGATATGAACCTAGAAAGTTCTAGGCACAACTACTTTTATCCATGTGGGATTTATAAGAGAGAATACTCAGCCGGGCACAGTGGTGAAAGCCTTTAATTCCAGCACTTGGGAGGCAGAGGCAGGCAGATCTTTGTGAGTTCGAGGCCAGCCTTGTCTACAAAAATTAGTTCCAACATGGCCAGGGCTACACAGAGAAACCCTGTCTCAAAAAAAAAAAAAAAAAAAAAAAACGAGCAAGCAAACAAAAACCAAACCACAAGAAAGAGAATGATCAGGTGCATCATAATCGTCACTTACACTATCACGGGAATGTCCAACAGAGGATGGGATAAGTGAAGGAAGTCCCAGCCCCATGGAGTTGCAAGCACCCCAGCTCCACGGCATCCTCAGGAAGACCACACATAACAAGAGAGAGCGCAGATGAAGTGCAGCAATAACTAAGATTATAAAATTCCCACATGTGATAAGGCTGGAAGACTCTGTGCCCATGGAATGCTGTTCTGCTGTGATGGTGTGATTAAAGAGGTTTATTTTTATACTAAATTGCCTTTGTCTCCCTCTTTAAAATGCAAATGTAATCATGTTACTTCCCTGCTTAGAATTCTGCAGGGGCTCCCATCTTTCACAATAGCAGTTTTCAGTTCTTTTCCCACCACCAGAAGCACTTAACGAATAATACATAAGCGCCTTAGCAAGACATACTAAGGCCTCCCAAGCGTGACAGGTGCAACCTAGCCAGCCTCATTACCTCATGAAACACCTAAAGCCTCTTCCTCCTGACCAATGGCAACACAGAGGAGCTGTCCCTTTTGAAGCCTCCTTACTGTAGTTAGAATGTCCCCTGAAGGCTATGTGATTTCAAAGCCTTTGGTACTATTAGAAGGAAGTGGGATCTTTAAGAGGTAGCTATGTGAGAGAAGCTGAGTCACTAAAGGCACTCCCTTGAGATATTTGGACCCCATCTCTTCTCCTCTTCTTGCTTATCTTGAGGTGAGCAGCCTTCATCTTCCTTTCCATCATGATCCACTGTGTCCCACAACCCAAAGTGACAGAGCCAATGACCATGGATTAAAACCTCTGAAACTGTGAGCCAAATGGATCTTTCCTCCGGGGAAGCTGATGGCCACAGGTGTTTTGTTACAGCAATGGAAATCTAATGCACTCCCCAAATGCTGTCTGAAGTACCCACACACAGAAAAAAAGCACAACTATGGGTTCTAGATGATGGCAATGTATCAGCACAGGTTGGTTGACTATAAGAAAAATAGCAGGATGGTTATATTGTTTTGGGGAGAAGACTGTAAGTAGGGGTCAAGGAATCTCTGTGTCTCTCACTTCATCTTACTGTAAAGCTAAAAGTACACTAAAAAATAAAGCTGATTGAATCTTTTCATTCATTGAAGATAGATTTTTTTATACAATATATTCTGATTACAGATTTCTCTCCTCCAACTCCCCACACTACCTCACCTGCCAAAATCTACATCCTTACAGGTTGTCTATCTAGAATATGTAATGTTAACTTTGCAATGTTTATGTGAGTTAGATGTTTAGGTCAGTGGCAGATAGAGTCATCTCTTTGTAAAGATTGGCTATTAATTTTGGTGATGGTGCTGATAAAAACTTAGTAGGTGGTACATGCATCACTACTGTTTGGCTCTGGTCTTAGTGATCCCAAAAGGGTCCAGTATGGATAGTCCTGATCTGAAGTGTGTGCTACTGGAAAATGATAGAGCTTTCAGGAAGGAAGAACTAAAGGGAGACCTTAAATCATTGGAGGCTCCAAAAGGGACCATGGGATCTCCACCTCCCTCCCTCTGAATTTCTATTTGGTATATTGAGTTCCCCCCCCCCTGCCTCAACATGTGTTCCCACTATGGGTTACTGCTCTCCAGCTTCTAAACCTACAGCCTTTTCTTTGTAAGTTAAATGTTTAGGATATTATTTCATTTGTAGTAGCATAAACTGGCAGATATAAAGAGGGATGTACTGGATTAGAACCATGTTAGGATGTATGAACTTTGTATGTTTACCCAGAACAAAGGAAAAGTGTTTAATGAGTGCTTTTTTGATGTGTGAATGGATGGGTAGATGGGTAGGTAGGTGGATGGATGGAGAGATGCTAATGTCACTTCTCAAAAGCAAAGCCTCTCCATTCTAACAGCTGTCTCCTTTCACAGTCATCTTTCCAGTGATTCTACCCAAAGACCCAAGGTATCACCCCTACCTCCTTAGGATAACTTCCAAACTCAGCCTGCAGGGCCAGGACCCCCAGTTGCAGTAGTGTCTCATCATTGCAATACAGCCTCTCTTCTAAAATGTCTTTCCGAAGCTGCAGGTAAAACTGATGCCTTGTCAGGCTGTGCCTAGCAAAGAAACACAGGAATAAAGACAGCCTGAGGGGTAGGAGAGGGCTTCGCTGGAGGGCTTCTCAGCATGGAAAGAATGGATACAACCCAGCAGAACCCAGGGAACAGAACCAGAGAATCTAGTGTGGGCTCCTCCATTCATACCACGCCCCCTCCCCCTAGACTAGATATTTCACCCAGCACCCATAAGGATATTGTTTAAGCCATAAAACTGATATTCAGTTGAATAGTGTCTCCAATAAGCAACAGAAAACAGAGATGGTAGGCTTACTTCAAAGTCAATGCACTTACCCCTGAGCAGTGGAACTGTGCATGACAGGCACTTAGGGAAAAGAGAACTTCTCATTTTGACCAGGGCCTGCCTCTAAAAGTCTAGTTTTCCTTTTGATTCTATTACATCAGAACTCTATGGACAAAAATTGACCTTTATATGCAATCTATCATTCTTCGCGCCTCTAACTATCCATTACATGTAATGCCAGCCTGTACAGGTATAGACCCTTTAATGATCCTAGGAATGAGTTTTGGCACTCACCGGAGCAGCTCATAGTGGCTGACAAAGAACTTTATCCTCAGAAAGAGTGTCAAAGTATCCATGGGACCTTTTGGATGCTGTCCTTTCCAGCCTTCTGGGGCAACTTTGCCCAATCTAGTGTCCTCGTCCAGGAAAAAGAACTCTTCACCTAAAATGGAAATAGAGTTTGGAGAATTAATAGGGGGTGCCCTGCCCTTAAACCATCCCTTAAGATCTACCCAGAGGGGTGGGGTGTAAGCTGAATCGATACAGGAGCGAGCAGAAGGTCCCTTCAGTATCTGGTAACAAGGGACACTTACATGGACCATAGGAACTGAGAAGAGACAAAGGAAAAAAAGAAGAAACATAATCACAACCAGCCTTCCATATACACAGTCTTTGTCTGCAAATTCAACTAGCCACATATTGAAATATTTATTTTGCATATACTATATATGTACAGACCTTTCTGTCACTGTCTCCTCTACAGTGTGGCACCCATTTAGAAAGTGATCATGTTGAAGTGAGTACTCTAGAGACACATGGGGGTATACAACATGCAGACGTATACCCTATCATCTTATACAAGAACTTCTATGGATTTGGGAGTCTGCTGGAGTCCTAGATTCCAATTCTAGGGCCTGGATGGTGGATGCTGAGTGACAACTGTATTTATAATGAAGAGCTGTCCCTTAGCGTCTGCTTTCCAGCTGTCATCATATGACAAAAGAATGGAGTATGAAGACCCTGCCATGTGCCAGGTCTTTCTGTATCAGTTGAGCCATCTTGTACCTCCCAGTCACATACACATTACCTACTAAATGTCTGCATCCTCCTCCAAATCATGCAGTGAACCCAAACATCTAGATTAATGGTACTCATGACTGAGTTTAATCTCTTCCTCTCCCTCTCCTGCCCCTTTTCCCTCTCCCTCGTGTGTGTGTGTGTGTGTGTGTGTGTGTGTGTGTGTGTGTGTGTGTGTGTGGTAGGGGGAAGCCAACTGTTTAAGACACCCAGCTATGGCACTTTGCTGGAACAGCAGGAATCGACCAAGTCAGCAGTAAGAACTATCTCATTTGCAAGCTTGGGTCTTCAGCTCCTGCAGAGTTGATCCTCCAGCCCACTTAGATGAAGGATAGATCAGTCCAAACCAATGAACATAACACCACTGTGCCTCTGCTCCCTTAAAAGCTGTTCTCAACCAGACTGAGCATCACAGGCTACTCCCAGGATTCCTGCAGGTCTGCTCCTCTCTGATACTCTGTATATCCCAAGCTGTCTGCTCCTGGGCTCCACTCTCCAGCCTCAGTGTGTAGGTCAGTGACTTGTCTAAGGTGAATTCCCACCACATCTAGAAGGTATGCCTGTTGAATCAGAAACCAACCTTTGCTTCCCAGGGGAGCTATATATGAAGTGGTAGGTATATGTCCAGGTACTTCTAATGGCCATTGCCCACCAACCCCAGTCCTCCACTCTTCCTGCTATATCTGACTCCCCACACCATACTCACTTTCCCTTAAGATAGATTCTCTCCAAGGGATGGATGAGTTCCCAATACAGTCGGGCTGGTAAAACCTCCCAAGATGATCTCTGTCCAGATCCATGATTCCCCATGAGGCCCCTCCTTAAGCAGCCCCAGAAATCCAGGAATCATCCCCATAATCCTTGACTGGAGGGTAGAGGTTGTACTCACCTAGATTTTAATTATTTGTTCATTTCATGCTTTGAACATATATGTGCATGTCTGTGGGAGCATATATGAGGAAGCATGCATATATATATGTGACTGTAGTGGCCAGGGGACAATCTTGAATGCCATTACTCAAACACCATCTGCCATTTTTATTGAGACAGGAACTGTAAGTGGCCTGGAACTCCCAGGTAGGTTATACTGGCAGGTCAGCAAGCCCCAGGGATCTGCCTGTCTCTGCCTCCTCAGCACTGGGATTACAACAACACACAATCACACTTAGATTTCCTTTGTACATGGGTCCTGGGAATCAAACGCAAGTCCTCCTGTTTACAAGGCAAGCACTTCACCAACTGAGCTATCTCCCAATCCATGGCTTTTACTTGGATTTTACATTTCAAATAAATAAAATGCAATATCTTCTGTGGGCTGAACAGTCAGAGAGTGCAGTTCTCACCATCAAAGAAATTTCTTTTACAGAAGACAGAGACTATTACAGAAAGCCACTACTGGTCAAAATGCAGACAACAATTGACCAAGAGGCACCAAATCCCAAATAGTATGTCTACAACACAACCCCTACACCTAAAGCTCCAGGATCATGGTGGAAAGGGAGTGGATGGATTGTGAGAGCCTGAAGACCTGAAAGTCTGCTGTAAGATTATGCCTTCTGGGTATAGCAGCAAAGCTACACCCATGAAATCTAAACAATGCAACTGACTAAGATTTGAATAGTGGCAATGACAATTGGCATGCCAAAGTGAATAGGGGAAATCTCATGAGGCTCTAGCTCTAGATGAAAAGCTACAGGCAACTAATGACTGTTGGGAGAGAAAGGAGAATTAGTTTTCCCCGGAGATGAGTTCTCTAATCAATCAATTAACCAATACCAAGTGTCATCTCTGGAAACACACACACACACACACAACAGACTCAGCAGGTTTGCATGTAACAATAATTAATGAATAAGAGCTCATGAATTTGAGAGATGGGGCATGGGAGGGGTTGGAGGGAAGAGTGGGAGGGGAGAAGTGATAAAACTGTATTTTAATTAAAACATTTTTTAAATAAAGTGATTTGAATAGCTTCTGGTACACAGCAGGCACTTAAAAAGAATACAATTCTTTCTTAAAAAAAAAAAAAAGCTTCCATTTGTATGTTAGCAAAAGTTAGACTTCATTGACCATGACCTACATCGAAGTAAAGAATTACAGTTCTATTTGGAAGAGGTATCCTTGTGGTGGTGGTGGTGGTGGGGTCTTCTGAGAATTCTGGAAAGACAAGGATATGCTGCCACCAGCCCCACTGTGACACACTAAGAGCTCACAAGCCCCCTTTAAAGGCTAGAGAATGAGAAACACGGAGACTCTTAATACCTCACAGACAGGGCCTGGAGCTCAGACTTAAGTCCCATAAAATCTCTTCTCAGCCTCTTTCCCTCTGCACAGTGCACTGAGGCTGATAGCTCCATCTGCAGTACGGGAGTGCTTGCAGGAGAGGAGATAAAATGTTTGCAAACCATTCTCTCAGGAGAGATTAACTTGGACTCTTTGGGACCAAGGTGCAAAATTCCAGCAGCTCCTCAGAAAATGCACAAATGTTCTAATATCTGTTTGTCTAACTTCAGAGTGCTCTAACTGATCAGACCCTGCAAGCCACAAATCCACATTCTACCCCATTCTCTCCTGACAATCTGTGCTCACCAATGCACCATCTCTGCTCACCTGTGTTGAGTTAAGCAAAGTTCTGTGTCCCGGGATCAAGAAGTTTTCCAGAAGGAACAGAGTCTATGAACTCATGAACCTGGGTTTCCAGAAGTTCGTGTCAATAGTGTCCCCAGAAATGCCTACCTTTCACATAAGCCAAACCAAAGTAGGTGGTCTCCCCAAGGTTGGCGAAGGACATGACAGCATTGAAGACAGCTCCTGCTGTGGACTCCATGTCACACTTCACCTCCAGACACTGTCCACTCAGCAAGACCACACAGAGGTCTCTGAGAGCCAAATAGGATTTCCCTTTTTTGGTCTGAAAACAATAACATCAATGCTTACAATTAAGAGGAGACTATGAGTCTTTAATTGAGCTAGTCCCCAGACTAAGCATGGTCCATGGATTACATCATTTATTTGTCTAACTATATGTGAAGTGAGTATAGTTTTGCTCCCTATTAACAGATGAGAAACTGAGGCTTAAAGACAATAAGGGACTTATCCAGGGTTGCACAGTTGGTAAAATGCAGAACCCAGACCCAAGTCTGAACTCTCTGAAGATTCTATGAGGTCAGCAATGTGGGGAGATAAGATCCATAACTTTCCCAACTCTCCTTCAGATTCATCCACAAGTCATGCACCCCTGACTGAGCTAGAGAGGGTTTCCTAGTGTTTATCTGCATTGCTCTGAGCTATAGAGAAGACAGGCATGGGAATGGCATAGGAACCTGGGAAAAGAAAGACACCATCCCAGGAGGAAGAGAGACAAGGGGGCTCATGGGAGAAGGGCCTAGAGCAGGGAGACTACCAAGATATCCCCAGAAAAGACCCCAAGCAAAGCCTAGTCAGCTTTGAGTTTGTTTGGCTTGAGAATTCCTTCTTGCCCCTCCCAGGTAGTTACCACAATGGATCCAGGCAAATGGAGGGTCACCGGGGCCTGTCCAGCCAACAGGATGAACTCTGGCCTGGAGAACTGAGGAAAAACATCCAGAATAACCAAAAGTAGGATTCCAGGCTTTGGAGCTCATCACCCTCTGCCTTCTACGGCCCTGTGCATCATTAGAGGTTAACATTTACACAGAAGTTCATAGTATTCATGCGTATCAAAAGCCTAAAACAAGCTGGGTATAGCGGCACATGCTCGTGCTCAGTTCTCTATGGGTTGAGGGATGAGCTACACGGTAAGACCCTGACTCAAAAACAAAACTTAAAGAAAAACCAGGACTGAGTAGATCTTCAGTCGGTAGAGTGCCAAGTTCAAGCATGAGGACCTGAGTTCATTCCCTCCAGAACTCAAGTAAATCCCAGGTTGGGTAGCTTGCACCTATAATTCCAGCACTGGGAAGGTGAGGACAGAAGACTCCCCTCTGGGGCTTTCTGGTCAAGCAGTCTAACCAAATTTGGTGAGTTCTAGGTCCAATGAGAGATCCTGCCTCAAAAAAACAAGGTGGCAAGCAATTGAGTGCAACCCTGAAATTGCTCCTAACAAGCTAAGTGACCTCAGCAGAGTTCTTCCCTGCCTGTGAAATATCCACAGGCACTATAGATAGATCGCAGGGGTCACCCCTAACAGTATGTCCTGTTAGCTTGGCCTTCGAGGCTGGGCAAGTTGGTGTGGCTGCTCTCTGGCTCAATTCCTCCGCATTTCCCCAATCCTAACACACACACACACACACACACACACACACACACACACGCACGCACGCACACACGCGCGCGCACACACACACGCGCACGCACGCACGCACGCATGCGTGCGCACACACACACACCAGCAAGAAAGGAGACGCTTCTTCCTAACTAGGCCACCTTGCAGTCCCAGGCACATCCCTGCCTGCAAGGCCTCTCACAAGTGCACTCAGTCTTGTCATCTCTCTTAGGTGCCACACTGGGCTATTGTTCTACACACACAGCCTCAAACTTCAGGAGATGGGGGACCTGAAACAACCTCATATCCTAAAGAGCATCTACTGTACAGCCAGTCCAGGTGTCAGGATGGGGGCTGGATGATGCCTAGCTTCAAGTAGCCAGGTACAGATTTCTGTCAGTACAGGGTCCCTGGGTACTGAAGTCACTGCCTGTATTCTCTCCCTGTGTCACAAGTCCCAGCTGGAACCAGTCTTAACAGTGTCCTCCAGCCCCAGACCTCTTTGCTCACCTTCCCCTTTCTTTGCAGGAAATTCCTTGGAGAAGATGCAGCTGGCTCTGAGCTTTCTGCTTCAGCCGAGAGCATAGGTCCAGAGCCACATTGCAAGCCCTCCTCACAGTCACAGGATCCCACACCTGCAACAGCACTGGCCAGGAGTGAGGAAGGGTAAAGCACTTGATAATGCATCCGTCCTACAGCAGAAGCAGCTGCCACCTCGTGTTAGTTCCCACATCATGAGAAGTAACACAGCATCTTCTGTTGGTGAAACTGAGACCCTCAGAGGTTAAGGCTACACAACCACTAGCTGGGGAACAACTTAAGGTATAAGACCACATATACTCCCCACCACCACTACCACCATCCCAGGTTTCTGCCTCTGTGCTCACCGTGACCCCAAGGTCCCAACATTCCCTATATAGATCATGGCTCTGACTTTGTTTCATTTTAGACATTCAAATCATTTTGACAATAAACAGTTGTGAACCACCTACTGATGCTTTGCTCAACAGAGGTCCTGTGGTACAATGAGGCTAACGGACTCCAATCACCCAGAGGGGCTGAAGCCATCACAGTGCATACACTATGTCATGTACTCAGGGGATGCTGGGGTAATAAACCCACTCCCCAGGAGTGAAGCCTCTCCAGTCAGTGACTTAGCTGATTACCGTGCAGAAGGTGACCAGAGAGGACAGGAATTCAGCAAACTCTACTCATCTCTGGGCCTGAATGGGACTCTCAGAAGACATGAGGTTCCTTGGCTTTTCACTAATATCTTTTTCTGAAGATGGTGTTTCTCACCACTAGTCAACAAAGAATCAGAGTGTGTAGACTCCCACACCTAGTTCACAGTGCTCAGGAGCAGGAGACTCACCCATTAACAAAGCTGCAACGACTGTGGGCCGTGGTGCTCCAGCGTCGCTCCAAGGAGCTCTGTGTCCCTGTGCTTCTCTCTGAAACTAACCAAACAGCGTGGTGGGTGGGGGCTGTGCAAACAAACAGCTCGCCTTTGTAGGGTAAACAGCTTGTGGATACTGCCCCAACTGATCAATCGTGTACCCTTGGTCAGCACTAAACATCTCTGAGTCTGTGTTCTCACACCACAAATGGAAAGGACAGTCACAAGACTAGGGAGGTAGGAAGAATGTTAGAGGGAGGGTAAGCCTAATTAATGACAAAAGACACGGCGGTTCATTGGTTTAGGGACAACAAACAACTTTAAATAAAAATAAACAAATAAAATTAGGCTTGGTGGTGTGCACCTGTGATCTCATACTTAGAGGTCGAGACAGGAGGATCAAGAGTTCTAGGCTACGTTATGACATTCTGTTTCAAAATGAATGAGTAAATGCATAGGGTGCAATGGTTAACACTGATCAATCTGACAAGATCTGGAATCAAGCCTCTGGGCATGTCTTGAGAGACACATTATATCAGTTATTAAGATGGGAAGATCAGTCCTATGAGTCATGCCATTCCATGGGCTGGGCTCCCAGCCTGAACAAAGACAAATGAGCGAGTGCCAGCATCTACTTCCTCACTGTGGAGGCCGTGTGACCTGGGCCTGTCAACCCATCTATATTCTCCACTGTATCCTTGCACTGGGAACAAAACCAGACCCGGCCTCCTGCAGGTGCTTTTGTCATCGAAACAAGAAGAGGAGTTAAAACATAACTCAAGTTCAGATAGCTGAGAAGCAGGTACAGACATATTCGAAGGTTAATGTAAAAGTCACTTTTTCAGCATGTCTAGAGTAAAAATTTAAAGTCCTTTATGAGTTGCTTGCTTGTCATTCCACTTACAAGGTCGTTTTTAAAACCTTTTTCTATTTGGGGCTAGAATGATGTCTCCATGGTAAAAGCACTGGCTGCCTTTCTGGGGGCCCCTAGTTCCATTCCCAGCACCTACATGGGGGTTCATAACCATCTGAAACTCCAGTTACAAGAGATCTGATGCCCTCTTCTGGTCTCTACTGGCATCAGGTCAGTACATAGTGCACAGACAGAACACTGATGCATAAAACAAAAGAAAACCTCTTTCTTAGTTTTTCTAACTTGTTCTCATCAATTTGGACAACTGGACTCCAACTTAAACAGCTAATATTTATTATAATTAACTCTATTCAACTTTACTAGGCACAGTGACCCTAGGCCCTGGCCATTGCTACTTCCTGGGAGAATAGCACTCTCATGGGAACTTTCCGTGTACACAGCAGGGTTATCCACACTCCGGGCAGGAGTTACAGACTTGTCCCTTTGAGTACCCTCTGTCTATATAGAACTTCTCAGAGCCTTACACTCACCTCTACGAGGCTGCAGACCATCAGAGGCCCGAGCTCCGGGGCTCTCGCTGCCAGCCCGATTCAGCTTGCTCCTGAGAAAGTGGCTTCTGCTCTGCCGCTCACAGGTGCCTTCCTCTACAACTCTTCTCTCCACCTGAGTGAGGATTGATAAACTCACCTATCAGCAACCAGTCTAGACCGGTGCATTGATACCAACAATGCAAGCTGCCTTGTCAGGCTAACTCCTTAGGGGCATCTGCTAGACAAGTGCTCTGTCATGGAACCCCTGAATTTATTATCGAATTTCCTTTTAATTAAAATTTGTCTGATTTAAATTCCAATAGGCACACACAGCTAGTGGCTCCCAGTGGGAAAGATGGATTCAATAACTGACCTCGGAGATGGTGCCCAACACCAAGCCCACCAGCCGACTGACATGGAGACTGGCAGGGGCTGGGTACACAGCCACTTCTTCCTGATGAACCCGGCAGGCTTCCAGAACTTCCTGCAGTGGCCGCCGTCTTCTAGGCTGGTCCTCGCACATGGCCAGCAGGAGGGAGTGCACGGGTTCTCGAAGCTGCAGGGGCTGCAGAGCGCACACTGGTGAGAAATATGGCCAGGTGGGATGGCTGCTGCGGGGCACCAAGGCCCACGTGGCCCGGAGACTCCAGGAAACACATTCATCACTACTAGCATGCATTTGCTTCTCCTGGAACAGACACCTGATTTGTCATTGAAGCCAAGCGATGGCTCCTACATCTACTGTGCATGCTACTCTCCAATCTGAGCCATGTAATGCAAGCTCGGTGAGCTGATGGAAAGCCTGTGCCAGACATCATGGACCTTGACCTGAGACAAATGCTTGACTGCACTAGTGGTCTCACACCCACTCACACACTCACTCACACATACTCACACACTCACACATACCCACACACACCCACACACACTCACACACTCACACACCCACACACACTCACACACTTACTCACACACACTCACACACTCACACACACATACACTCACACACTCACTCACACACCCACACACACTCACACACTTACTCACACACACACTCACACATTCACACACACTCACACACTCACACGCTCACTCACACACTCACTCACACACCCACACACACTCACACACTTACTCACACACGCTCACACATTCACACACACTCACACACTCACACATACCCACACACACCCACACCCACTCACACACCCACACACACTCACACACTTACTCACACACACACTCACACACACTCACACACACTCACACACACTCACACACACTCACACCAGTGCATTGATGTGGTAGCCTTGTGCTTCCTACAGTTATCTGGTGAGGGAGGACAGTTATCTCATGAGGACTTCCTCTGGTACAGACCTGTAAATTGAAGTGGCCTTTCATGCTTAGCCATGAGCAACCGGCAGGGGCTCAATCGCAGTCACCATTGGTAGAATGCCACACAGACATCAGGCCAAAGAAAAAATAGTCTGGTACAAGCACTCCCTTCATGCTCTCAGGGAGCCTGTCTTCACAGCAACCAGGCCACTATGTCCCCACAGTAGCTCTTCATCCTCATTGCCTTAAGGATCACAGTCCCACACAAACGTTACTACTTAAAGAGAAAGAACAGCTGAAGATGATGAGCGTTTGCCCTCAGGAAGAGTATTCAGACAAAAGCCTAACCCAGGCAGATCTCAAACAGCAGCAGGGGTTTGGAAACAGGCAGAATGATCTCTTCTGGTGCACATGCACAGAGGCAAGAGGTGCAGGTGAGCTGGTGTGTGTGTGTGTGTGTGTGTGTGTGTAAGGAAAGGGCTACAGTAAGAGCTATGACAGAATGGTAGTGTGAAGCCCAATGTACTGGGTACAAGATGGGGCCAGCAAAGCATTAGCCAAGCATTTTTAGAATTGCAAGTCACACATTCATAAGACAAACCCTGGGGATATCAGAGAACCAGAAGACAGGGGCAGGAGCCAGATTCTAGAATCTATGTGCTCTGATGAGATGATAGAATAAATATAACCATAGGGACAGCAGGTAGCCAGTGGCTGTCTCACCTCAAGCAGGGTGAGTTGCAAATAGTTTTCTGCTTGAGAGATGGGGACAAAGTAAGGGAGGGACGGAAGGAGGGAGAAAAAGAGGGTATTTGTAAGAAAGGACCAAGGGTCCTGTGGATCAGCAATGATTCTATAGGCCTAGCTTTTAAAGGGCTCTTATGATGTCAGATGAAAATGTGCATTCACTCACACATACATAGGTGCACACAGACACATACACATCGGGCGGGGGGCACATATACCAATGTATTCATTCACATGCTGCATGCACTCATCAGCAGAATTGTGCAACACGCTTTGCTCCATAAAGCTTCCATGTTTGAGGCTTGCCACAGGCAGTAACAAACTAGTGTGAAACCTCTTCCAGAGGAGAGGTTGCAACGGTGAGTTTTATCTCAATTACTGAGCACAAAACCCTTTTCTCAGGGCAGCAGTTCACTTCAGAAAGGGCTGATTCTGAAAGCATTGGAGAAAATACATGAACAACTGTCCTTGTTGTACATGACACCCTCTAGCTTGCTACTTCCTGTGGTCAGAGAGGACAAGTGAATCTTATCTTGACTGCCAGTCCCAACTTGGGTCTGCTTGGAGTATAAGAAGATGCTGAGGTTTACGGACTCAGGAACGAACTGGACAATCAACTGGCAATACCTGTGGAAGACTTAGCACAGAAGGGAGGTGACACCACACTCGATGCGTGTCCTGCCTAGGGTAGAGCTACTAAGCTAGCCCAGAGGGGTGACCTGCTAACACCTGAGGCATTCTGTTTACAGACCTGGTTTGGTGGAACACGAAACCCTGCTGACCAGTAGAGAGTCATCCCCAAGGAATAGACATGCATCTGCCCAAGAGAAAAGCACATGGTTAGAAGTCAGGCTTGGGGCTCCCCAGTCCTGTGATTGAAGCAAGGGATGGGAATCTGGCTAGCCCAGCACCATCTGTACCTCCTTAACCTTTGCTGCCTCCCACGCTGCAGGCTAGAAATTTACTTTCTAGCAGTAACTATGACTCCCAGTTTGGTGAAAAAATAAGAGAGAACATCTGTTAGGATGCTTCCGGAAGAAGAATAAGAAACTTTAGCTTTATTGGGGAAAAAAAGTCATGTGACTGGTCCCACACGTGCCCTGTTGTTTCTATCTGTAATACCGTATGATATGTGGAGTCATAGCAGCCATCTTGCAACCATGTGTAAATAAGCACGGGGACTAGAATAGAAATGTATGTCCTGAGTCCTTATTGATATCTTTTAGTTGTTGCTACCCATTCCTAAATTGCTCCTTAAGTAATGAATGACTAACTGAGGCTCTGGCTATTATATTTCAGGCTTTCTGTTTCTTGTAATCATAGCCATCCATACACTGCATGATATGGGTCAGTCTTACTGGAAAGTCCTGTAGCTCTTCAGAAAATAACACAGTGTGACAGGAAGAGCATGATCTGACTTCTCTGAAGCTCTGTGGTTTTTAAAGTGAGTGTTCTGCCCAAACCCTCACAAGAATGGAGTATGAAAGCACTTGGGGTGGTCATTATAATCAGGTCAAGCCCTATTATAAGCCTTTGGCTTATTTAAATGTATTTAGTCTTCACAACAACCCTCTGAGGCAAGTTTTTTATTGTCCCATTCTAGATAAGAGGAAACTATAGCAAAGGGAAACTATAGGATTTGCCTAAATAAAACCCAAACATAGATTGAACCCAAGCCTGGAGCTGATGGCCTGAGCACCACAGCTGTGATCTCCAGATGAATTAATGCCTTTTGATGGTGCTGGAGGCTTACATTGTAGGAGACAAAGATCATATTCTTGAACATCTTTCTCAGGAAAATACTTTTGGAACACTGTGCAAGAGAAGCCCCTGAAGTAACAAACCGTGCGTTAAAGCCGTGGTTACTGGCTACTGCCTGGCACTTTCCCAGTGTCTTCCACTGCTTGTGGGGGAAAGCTTTGCCCTCCCTGGGGTATTTCGGGGAGCTCACATAAAGTGCCTTGGGGAAAGTCTAGTCAGTCTTTTGCCTTAACATCCAGGGCTAGAGAAGATCCAGCGCCCCTGTGTTGGACTGTCTAACACAAGTGGTTGCAGGTCCCACATCATGGAGATGAGGAGTGTCACCTGTGCCTATAAGCCATTGTCTTTATTTATCTGAAACTGCACCCCTATAACCCAGCCACACCCCCCAGACCCAGTGTGAGAAAGCTCCCAGACTGCATCTGCATGGCTTCGGTAACCCTGGGAAGAAGTGGGATGGCATCCTGGGTGTAAAGATTCAGGCATTACGCTGGCCTGCCCCTGTCACCTGGCAGAATGCACTCAGGCAGTACCCTGGTCAGCCCAGGTTTCCATGGGTTAGGTGCAGGCCTGAGGGACAGAAGCCTTTGCAATGGGTACTCCATGTTCTCACTTCTATGGTATAATTTGGAGCTACATGGACCCTGATGAACCAAACACGGAAGCCATAGAGGCCCTGAACTCTTCTCAGAGCCCAAAGGAAAAGCAGTGGCATTCCAGGGTGGTCCTGGGAGGAGCAGCACCCTAGATCTGCAGGTTCCCCTGCAGATGAAAGGCCAAGCAAGAAGGGCTGTGCCCACCCAGCACTATGAAGCAATCTGACATTTGAGCTCTTCTTTTTTAAAACTGAAAAGACTGGAACACATTGTCGTTCTCTCCATTGAGGAAACTGATGCTGCCATCCAGCATAAGGCACTGTATGTTATGTTTTATAATCTCTCTCTCTCTCTCTCTCTCTCTCTCTCTCTCTCTCTCTCTCTCTCTCTCTCTGTACCTCCCTCCCTCTCTCTTGTCACTAAACAAATTTCTGCATCTCACATAAGTGCCATCTTTTCTCATGTCCCCTCTTCACTGACATCCATTTTGTTTCTACTTAATGGATGACGTCAACAGTACACTACCAAACACCTCGGCAGCTAAAGCTACCTGAAGCTGCCTGAGGGTAAAGGTCTGTGGAGGGCTGGCTGGGGCATTCGGGAGACTCCTGCTTCATGTCTCCAATGACCACATAATGAAGACCATTTGCCCACGGTGTTCCCCAACGCTTCTCTTTATGTTTCTCTCTGTGTGTTGGTATGTATATACACATGTGGGAGTGGTGTGTGTGGCCATACACACACGTGTGGAGGCCAAAGGCTGGCAGCTGGGTGCCTTCCTTTTTCATGTCCACTTTATGTTTTGAGATCTCCTACTGAACCTGGAGCTTGCCGGTTGACTAAACTGTCTGGCTAGCCAAGCTCTGGAACCCTCTTCCAGCTTTCATCCCTGTCATACCTGAGTTTCTCTGAGCACTTTAACCCACTGAGCCATCTTCCCAGCCCCTACGCTGCTTCTAATGCTGGTAAAGCTTGACCCACAAAGTTGTTTGTCTCTCCTTAACTGGCTGAGAAACTTGGGCTCAGTGAGGTTGAACTGCCTTCTCCAAGAGCTGGTAACTGGCTGGCAAGGAAAGCCTGCGAAGAACATGCTCAGAGCTTCAGAACTGGGCTGGGCAGGGGGGTCGGGGTGTCTCCCCCAGGAGGCAGGGTACCACGTGTCCCACCTGTGATGCTTCAAGCTGCTCATTTTCATTTGGTCCCCGTAGCAGCTCAGGAGCCTTGAATGGCGCAGCCTCTATGTGAGAAACGTGGTCTTGGAAAGAAAGACTCCCAGATGCAGAAAGCAGAAGTGACCAGGGGCAGACCACGTAGTCTGGGGAATCTGGAAACCAGGCAATGATGGGGTGTAAGCACAGGGCCACTGTACCAGACAGCACTTGTTCTAGTACTGACCCCAACCCAGGCCTATATGGGCACAGAGCAAAATTCACCCAGCCCATAGAAATGTATATTACAAAAGATAATTGCAACTGCGGCCAAGAATTTAGCACCCGGATCTGAGTCTATTGAAAACCTGAGAATTTCAAAATAAATGGTCAAGACCAACTGGAAACTGATGCAAACCTGAGTAAATCACAACTGGGTAAGGGCCTCGGGATGCTGATCATGGCCCAGCTCTTCAAGGGTTAATCAGATCCCCCAGGGCAGGAGATGGGAGTGAGAACTCAGGAGGAAGAGAAGCTAAGGCGTAGGTATACAGTCTCCCTCCATTGGCTGACGCTGGGGGCCCACCTGCTCCCACACACCCTGATCCATTCACTGAAACTGCTAAGTCAGAGGCTTCTGGGTCAATACCTAAGTGTAAACTGTCTGTGTTCACCTCACCTGCGGACTGAACACGGCACAGCTCCAACCCACCTTTTCATCCAGACTCCTCTAAGCATCTATCTCTGTGTCTCGGAACAGGCACTGCAGAGACCTTGCAGGAAAGCAGGGGCTCTCCTACAGTGTCTGAGAACCAGTGGTATAAATATAATGACCAGGCAGCGACATCTCTATCCTAGACTCAGCCACAGGATATGAAAGCCTTTGGATATCTCAAGGCCTGGCTTCATTCACCTTGTGACCACTTTGTCATGGACCTGTCCACAAAGATGCTGCAGGCATCTTCCTGCCCACGCACCATCAGCCTGTTTACCTGAGTGTGCCCACATTCCAAAGGGTCACCCCTAACTTCCAGGCCCTCTGAGTCATCACCTGACTTTTGCCTCTACTCCACCTGGACCATGACTGTAGACTACCTCTGGCCAGGTCATCTAGGGACCTTCATCATCAGGAGCTACAAGTACAGCTCCTCCATCAGGATAAAACCCAACCCAAGGAGGACCTGTCCTTGGCTCTGGGGGTCCAGGTAGGATTTTCTTATATCTTCATTACACCCACATCCAAGTTTAGTGATTTTTATGTTAATCTCCCTTGTTTAGACCACAGCATAGGTTCTGCCTCTGATGGGACAGAAATGCACAGCATCTGATGGAGTGTAGGGACAGCCCAGGTGTTGGGAGAGGCCTATGGCGCTGCATCTGGTCTCTCTGTAAGCACCATGCAAGCCCAAGCAGAAGCACACACAGCCTTGGTTGCATGGCACGGACCTTGGAGACAAGCCACCCTCAGCATCTGCCTGATGGGGACCATTTGCTCTCTTGCTCTAAAAGCTGAGGGTTGATCACAGATCAAGAAGCAGCCAGAAGGAAATTTGTTTTAAGAAACTTTCCTTTCAATTCCCTAGGACCCAGTTGCCCCAAATACTCTCTTACCATTATGGAGGTCTTCCAGGAGCCGCTCAGCAGCCAGTGACAAAAGGGACCAGATTTCCTCTTCAGACAGAGCCTCACCCCTGACCTGCAGGGCACTGGCAAGTGTCACAGAAGCCGCACTCATGCCTGTGAAGACAGAGTTCCGCAGTGCCTGGGAATGAATGCTCTACCACTCCAGCTACTAGATAGTGCGTGTTCACCCTGTTCTCATTGCCTGCACCTCTGAGTCTCAGGACTGCACCTAGCCCGGCAGGTTGGTGGCTCCTCGGGGAATGAGCAATCAAATGGATCAATCAGCTATCAGATGAAAGGTTGAAGAAATGGGTGAAAGACAAGTGGCATGTAGAAGTACCCCCTCCTCCGGGAGAGCTCTCTACACCAGGGAGTGTCTCTGTCTGGGAAACCAGATTGACAACCATTTTTGTCTGGGATACATGAGTATGCCTTTAGTTGTCAGCTGCCACTCAGAGCTGGCTGCAGTGCCAGGGCAGTCCCTTCTGTCAGCTCTTGCTTGCAGAACAAGTGAGAACCACCCCCTCCCCAAGAGAACAAGAGCCCAGATTTCAGAGCAGGAAGGACACACAGGGAAGCTGGAGAAGATGCCACCACCAAGAGGGTGGCTCTCTTTCCTTCTAGAAGGATCCTCTAAACCACAGCTGACATTTCAACCGGTCCCCCACACACAAAGACACCCTCACTAATCTGCAAAGCCCTGCTGGAGAAGCTGGAAGGCACAGGGCTGGGTCAGGAACCCACAGGCACCCACAGGCACCCCCAGCACCCTGGGGCTAAGCAAAGCTGCTCAGCCCCCTGGGGAATGGAAAGACCGAGCTCTTCCACCTGGACATGGAGGCAGCTTTGGGAGCTCCTGAAGTCACCTGACCTGTGAGCTGTGGTTTGTCACAAAGAATCTGTGAGGGCAACTGGGGTCTCCAGTCAGACAAGAAAGTAGTCCCAGCAGCCAGGTGAATTTCTGATGTGCTAGGTGTTCTGTTTATACCCAGTGGATCGTTACATGCTGTCTTTGCTCATCAGAAGTGTATAATTATATGTAGCAATTAAAATTTGCCAGAGATGGATTAGGACTCAAACCAGGCCCTCTCCTTCCCTTTCTTATTTTCCTCTCCACTCCATTATTTTCACTTTTTGCCTTTTTCTTTTTCCTTTTAAAAGCTGTTACAGAAATATGAACTAAACATTCCCATTTAGCTGTGTGCTTCTAACTCTGTAATCATGGTGAAGGCCTTTTATCAAAGAAAAGGGAAAAATATTTTTATTCTCAGACAGAAAACCTCAAAATCCCAGGGAAGAGACAAAACTAGGGGGAAAGAAAAGAAAAAAAAAAAAAAACTTCAATGTAAGCCTGATATACAGGTTGTAGCTAATTGAGGCTGTCACTTCCATACCGCTGTTCTGAGCAGAAAGGATGATGGCCTTTCCAAAAAATAGCCATGTGTCCTTCATAGAAACCCTGAGCAATGGCCTAAATCTAACACCTTTACAAAAATTAGTTCACAGTGGGTAGTAGATTTAATATAGCACACAAAACTATGTACTTTCAGGGAAGCCAAGGAGCAAAGCAGGGACTAAGACCAGGCAAAACGTTTTGGGAACTTGCTGCCCAAACCACAATCTATAAAAGGATCTTTAAGTGATAAGTAGGACATCATTGAAATTGATTTTTTTTTACTCTGAGAAAAATCCCATGAAAAGTATGAAAAAGCAAATTATACTAAGAAAAAATATGTAAAATCACATATCAGAAAAGACACACACACATATTCAGGTTATCTATTTTTAATCCCTCAGAATTCATCAATAAGAAAATAGATTCAGAGAGAGCTTGGTGGTCAAAAGTTCTTGCTGCCCAAGCATGGAGACCTGAGTTTGAATCCCATGTAAAAGCTAGCTGTAACACAAGAGTCTACAATCACCTGTAGCATGACTAGAGGCACTGACAAGTAAATACTGGAAGTTAAAATGCCAATTAGCCTGGGGTAGGGAGGCAGTGTCGTCTGGGGTGGGGTAGACCCTGCCTAAAACAGGCCCTCTCTTTCCCAATGAGGACCAATGCCAAGTTCATCTTCTGACCTATTTGCACATGCCATGGTAAGTTAATGCCCACACTTACACAGATGAACACTTGGTCAGTGCACAAACACACACAAGAAAATAAACAGTCCAATTAGAAAATGACACAGACATTTCCCCAAAGGTATTTACATAGATACCAAATTAAACCCATGAAAATATATTAAACATCGTTAGATATTAGGGAAGCACAAATTAAAGCCACAATGACGTGATGCTGCATACACGCTGGAATTACTAAGATAAACATTTGTCACAACCCCAAGGGCTGATGAGTATGCCTAGAAACCAGATCTCTCACACTGTCAGTGAGACTGTGAAAAGCACAGGTACACTGGAAAATGGTTTGTTAGCATCTTAAAAATTTAAACACTACACTCCTGCACAAAGGCCATGGCACCACCCAAGTGGCACATTGAACTTTGTCAGAAATGCAGTTGCAAAATCCAAAGCAGGGAATATGTAGGTCAAACATCTGGGGTCCTTAACAAAGACATTATTTAAAGAAAGCAGAGGAAGGAAGGGAGGAGGGAGGAGGTCACAGAACACCGAAGTAAGGACCTTCCCAAATCTTCCTGTCCACAAAAGCAGTGAGAAAATGAGCAGCTCCCTCAGACACCACAGGCTCAGGCCACAGCTATAGCCCTTTCTAATCCCATTCTTTGGCATTTTCATCCCTGGAAATCTCTCACAAGAATTGTTTGTATTGGGGCTCGAGAGATGTCCTGAAGTTAAAAGTATGTAGTGTTCTTACAGAGGACACGGGATCTTTAAAAAATAAAATCTTGAAACTAGACTCAAACAAATAATTGTCTATATGAACCCAATCCAGAGTTCCTCCAGGGCCACAGATATTTTTAAAAATATTTAAAATTATTAAAAAAATTAATCTGTATCAATTATTTAACATTGCAGCTGTCTGTGATTGCAATAACAATCGTATAGATAAGAAGTGAGTCAAGGACCCACAGAGAAGCTGGTAAGAAAATAGTAGCCAAATTGAAAAACCTTTAAACATCTCCAAGAACATTAGAGTCACTTTCATTTGTAGAACTGTGTCTAAGTTCAGAATAATGCACGTGCTCTGCAATACTTAAAAAGATTCTAATTATTTACCTCTGGTTCCCCATTAGACACTGAACAAGCAGGAAGTAGAGGCTAAGCCAGATTTGGGGGCTTCTCAGCAGGTGGATAAAGGTATGCCTTTGCATCACTCGAACCTGTTGGGAGCACAGAGGTCCTTGTGCTCAAAGATAAGCACTAAGGAAACCAAGAATGTTAAACACGGAGGACCTTCTGTTCAAGGAGAGACTTGTATAACCTGTTTTTCCACACTGCAGGTTGGGAATCAAGTGGTTAATAATTTGGTGATTTGCCCTGCCTGTAGGGCCAAGCCATACAAACCTTCCACACTCATGGCCCGAGGTGGCTAATATTCTAAGTGACCTTTGTATTATCTGTATGGCCAGGGGCTCCCCTAGGCTCCCACAACCAGGACCAGAGATACTTAATCATCTAAGTGACCTTTTTGTTATCTTTATAGCCCAGGGCTCCTCCAAGCTCCTCCAAGCTGGAGATGGCTAATAATCCAAATGACCTCTATGCTGTCTGCATGACTAAGGCCATCCCTAGGCCCTTAAGATCATACAAGTAGCCTATCTGTAGAACACATCTTCGTGGAAGAAGTGGCATACACTGTGAGAAGAGTTCTGATGTAATTATGAGTACATGTGCACAGGGGATTGTGTTACACCAGGAAAATTTTCCAAATTATGCTGTACTTAAACATGCCTAAAATTAACGGCCCAGTATCTGACTTTAGAAGTTTGAACCAGCACCAGCTCCTGAGTCATGTTGAACCAGATGGATTCCCTCCTTGCCTCTCTCAGATCAACACTGATGGTGTTTAGACCTCTACAAATATCCTCAGCAAAGCCTAGGAAGACATTAGATCCAGGCATTAAAAGACACCCCTCACCAACCTTAAGAGACACTAAACTGAGTGGAGACCTTGGTGGCTATACATAATAGAGAATGCAGTGCTTGGAAAGAAAGTTCTGGGAAGTAATTAAAGATACAAGCAGTAACAATGAGGAACAACTATGGCAGTCCTGGGGAAAAACAGGAAGGACATTTTTCCACAGGTGCTCATTGTATTATTGAAAATGTTATTTTCAATCACCCTAGAAAAATATGATACAGGTGAAGAAACAAGAAAAGTTTCCTGTGGGGGCTGCAGAGATGACTAAGAGGTTAAGAGCCCTTGCTGCTCTTGTGGTGGATCAGAGTTCAACTCCCAGCATTTACCTGGTAGCTCACAACTATCTGGAACTCCAGTTCTAGGAGATATTTTGGACTCCACTGGTACTATATTCATCTGGTACACAAACACACATTCAGACAGTGCATTCATATACATAAAACACAACAAATAGATCTTCTATTGAGTAGCCCATAAATGAAAAAAAAAATAGACAAGTCATTATTCCTAGGGAGGCCCAGATTATTAGAACTACTAGACAAAGACTTTTCATTAGCTGCTTTAAAAGTATTCACATTGCCACCATAAACTGTGTTTAGAGAACTGAAGGGGAGCCAGGCATGGTGGCACACACCTTCAACCCCAGCATTTGTGGGGAAGAGGCAGGTGGGTTTGTGTGAGTTCAAAGCCAGCCTCGTCTACAGAGTGAGTTCGAGGACAGCCAGAGCTAGGTAGAGAGACCCTGTGACAAGGAGAAGGAGAGGAAGGAGAAGAGAAGGTGGAGGAAGAGGAACAACAATAAGAACTGAGGGAAGCCGGAGAAAGATCCCTCACTAAGCAGAGAAAGCATGATGAGACAGAAACTCTAAGAAGAGGAACCAAAGAGTAAAGAGCGGTAACCAAAATGTCATCAGCAGTAGTGAACTCACAAACAGGGGGTGGAGATTACCGGCTTGGGGGAAACAGAAGAAAAATCAATGAAGAAAGATGAGCAACTGTTCAGTTATCTGTTGGACACCTTCAGCTTCACTAACTTCCTGGGAGCCAGAATCCC